ACTTCAGCGCCCTTGGAGGATAGAGCTTTGGCTTTGGCGCTGGAGGTGTTGCGGGTGAGGGCGCGGACCTTCCAGCCTGGTTCGGAGAGGAAGGCTTCAGCGACGGAACCGCCTTGATTGCCTGTGGCTCCGAGAATGACAATGAGCTTGGAAGACATTGTTGAAGTTGTTATAGAGAGTTGAAGTTGAGTGAATAGAATGCTGTTGAGTGAAGTTGAGGAGTGCTGTCTAGGTCGAGGTAAGACCTCCTTATATAGCCAATCTCATGACAATGACTACATGTCTACTGTGGTAAATCTGCAGCCTGATTTATCAGCATTAACAGATTCTCTTGCTGTCGCCATCGATTGTCGTGTCGTTATTGAAGTTGCTGGCAGCGGATGCCGCTCTTGGCCCCATAATTGTCCGCTCTACCGCTCCGAGAGTGGGTCCGGAGCCGGCGCAATAAACTCAATCTCGTTATCGTGCGTATTATCGTTTTGGAGTAACGGAGGAACTAACCCCCGACTATCCTAGTTCTTTTCTTGGGCGATTCGCCGTGGTTGATACGGGGAGTGATTGTCTGCAGTTGCGTTTACCTGATCGATGGCATTCACAGATCTAGCTGATAGACTCTGTCACTCTAGCCCTTGATGGTTCAGATGAACATATAGCAGTGTGTAATGGTGAATCACAGTCTGTTGAAGCTGGATATAAAAGGGACCGCAATGCTCAACAGCCCAGCAACACAGCAATTATCTCCCGCCAATAGCTTTAGCTAAGCAGCACAAAATAATACGAATAAATAATTATAGAAAGGCAGACAGCCAAAAGAAGTCTCACCATGGCACTCGGATACAAAAAGCCCTTTGACCCCAAACTTCCAATCTACAAGCACGATATTCCAAGGAAGTTGGTGAAAGACGATACGGAGCTTGATAAAGCACTTATTGACATTTTTGGAGCTTGGGACTTTAAATTCGTCAATCGCTATGACGCAACAAAGGAAATGATCACAGTCGAAACAAATGATGATCAGTCGATAGACTTGAAGAAAAAACTGCAGGAGAAGGGGGTTCTGGAGCAAGACTAGTCTTTTTGATAGTGAGAATGGAATAAAGTCGCTTGATTCAGCAGTGCCGTTGATACAATGGAAATCTTGCTTGTATGCCTGCCCTGATTAGTGAAGTCGATCACTATGAAGGCATATAGCCATATAGTCAAATGGTGAAGATATTGGTAGCTGTCAGCGACTGCATCTTGATCATATGTCAACTATCGTAGAACGAGAGATTCAGTGTCTTGAATTGAGTATAAATATCGCGTCGGCTGTATATATTCAACCTTCTACCCTACCAACCTTAACCAAACCACTAAAACACCAACTGAAAGCAAACACTATCGCCATGGCTCCCGAGTACGAAACAACCTTTAGCCGCACTCTTCCCTTTACTACCCACAAGATTCCCCAAGAGCTGGTAAAGAAGGAAGAAGAGTTCTATAAAGCTCTCTGCGACAAATTCGGCGCTTGGACATGGGTATGCGAGAAGAAAGAAGGAAATTATATCGTTGAAACAAATAAGGAGGCGCCGGCAGACTTGAAGAAGGATCTACAGGAGAAGGGCGTCTTGAAGGGTGATGAGCACCTGATTCAAGCCGCCTCTTGATACAGAGCGGATATGGAATAGGAGGGTCGGGGCGGAGACAATAGAGAGTCCTCACAGTGATTCGTAATTTAGAATTTTTGCAACATAGGAGATATTAATTAATTGCAAAGTCTTAAATTGTTGGTGCCAGTGATTTGCCTGTCTCAGTGTGAATGACGTGGACAGCAGCGGACTCAAACGGCCCTTGTCCGCTCCCACTTCCCGTTCTCGTTCGAGGGCGGCTCTGGTAAGATGGAGCGTTGGCCTGTATTCAATACGTCTTGCTTACTCCCGCAAGAAGGCAGTTTCATCAAGCTATGGCCATATGTCACCATCTGACATGTAATCGCCCCGATGGCCTGTTGATACCGTATCAACGGACTGGCCATGGGCCTGTTACAATGTTATATACATACCTATTTGGGGTTTTCGTATCCACCCCCGCGTCTCCTATAGCATATATCATATAGACACTATGATATCTGCCAACCATTATGATAAAGCTGTTACATCATAGCTTCCAGACTGAGGTGCAACCCGTCACAGACGTCTGCTGATAACCTAGACTGCAAGGTCAAACTCGGAGATCAGACATCCGCTCCGGTAATTAGACAATTCGGGTTGACGCGAACTTTTGCCAAAAGAACATTGCAAGGTACAAATTAGCACCCAGCGATAGACTCCAAGAGAAATGTAAAGCTACTTGATCACGGGGCAGGCATGCTGAAGAGTTACTGACTTGTATACATTCAGAAGCATATGGCGAATGTTGAGCCACGATATATGTTGCTGAGGTTCGTCAAGTCACTAGTGGTATATTCTTAACCGTATTTCCTGATTCCTTGAAGATATAAAAAAAAAACATTGAAGCCGTGTAGTGTTAATACAGTAGGTAATCCCAATTTGCCCTAATCCTTTATGCCGATACACCTTTACTCCGTTAACCAACCTCATTACAATTTCATATTTTAGTGTCGAGGCTCAAGAATGTCTAAATAATCGCCGCATAGGGTCGAAAAGGAAATGTATGTCTCGTTCTTGAAGTCTGTCAAGACACCACCGAGTTGATCCTCTGGTGCTCCTGAATCGGGGTATACTGTCTTGTACACCCACTTGCGTCCGTCAATGAGCTTCTCAGTAATGGGCTCATCCTGCCTGGTAGCTTTAAAGCCAGCCTGTAGCAGGGGAACGGCGTAGGGGTGGAACCAGTACTTCTTGAAGTCGGAGATAAGGTTTCGCTTGCTGCATGTGGCGTGGTAGAAACCGAAGATGCTGCGTGTAGCGACGTTTGTGTCGAGAGCTAGGCTGCCTACCCAGTCACGGGCGGACATTGTGGCCAGCTCGGCGGGGAGAGATTTGAAGACCTTGATGAGAGATTGGTAGACGTTCGTTGGCATCTGGATGCGATAGGGCTTGAAGGTCTTGCCCACGTCGTAGACATCCTTGGACATGGTCGCCGTGTTGTCTGAGTTGTTGTAGTTGAGCTTGTTCATCCATCTATGGGCGAAGCATCCAGTCTGCACGAAATCCGACTCGAAATCGATGGCGGCATGGTACTCGGTGATGTTCTTTGTTTCGATGGCGGTGGCGTTGTCGCCCAAGCTGGCCATCATGTACTCATCCTCAACCTGCTCGGCGCGCGAGAGTTCCTGGCGTGCATAAAGTCTAGCGAGGTAGATCTGATCCGACGTCTTGTATTTAAAGTTGGGGTCGAAAGTCTCCTCTAAGCTTGCAATGCCAGCGTTGATAAAGTTGCGCAAGTCCCCGACAGGTCCAATGACGCTTCCTGAATTGAAGTACTTGGCGTCGCGATATGTGACATCCCCGCCGCCAGTCTTGGGACCATAGACATTACCGGGGAGATGCGATCCGGGGATCTTGGTGCACTGGGCCTCGTTCAGGGCTGGCCAACACATCTTGTCGGCACCCCAGAATAGAGTTTGCTTCAGTCCACGTTTGTGGGCTTCTTCAACGGTTATGCCAAAACGGTCAGCCAACCGGCGGTCGGCATCAGCAGCAACCTTAAAGTAGCGCTCAATCACAACCTCGACGGGCAGCTGGGCCATAACATCGTATCCATCGCCGAAGAACACGAGGTCGTCATCGTCACCGCCTTGGGGGAGTTCGTCGAGGTACTTCTTGATCGAGTACAGCTTAGCCGTATGCGCGGCGGAAGCGTTGTATTTGCCCTCGCCCTTCCAGCCAACCATGTACGGAGCGGGATATCGGTTTACAAGGGCGGCGGTGACGATGGCGCAGAACATGTCATTCGGATTCGAGGCCGGCAGCAGGAAATGCAGCTGCGACGTCTTGACGACCTTCTTCTTTGGCTTCGATGGCGCATGGACCGATGGTGAAGCCCCGGTCGATTGGGATCCAGACGATAACCCATGTGAAGGTGTCCACTGCGGAAGTGTCAGTTTACGAGGCAGCAAATGAGGGCGAGGCCAGGACGGAACCCACGGCATCTGAATAAAGATAATAAGTCTCAAAAAGGATAAAAAAGACCAATACGCATGCAGCCACCATCGCCGTTCGGCGGTATGGCGATGTTTTCTCCGACATGGCAGCGATGGCCATCTTTTACACCAAACAAGAAGCGAATGAATGAATGAATGATGCAAGAAACGAGCGACCCGGAAGACTTAAAACATTGTGTTAAGTAAGGATCTCCCCAGGTAAATATAGATAAAGATAGGGGTTGCGTGTTAAACTTGATCAGGGAGAGAAATCAATAGTACACTACGTAGTAAGGGGGATGGCGTACAAATACCCCACTTGTCCAATTTCAGATCTGATGTAAGCTCCAAGATTCGCTACGTAGCGGTCTTTGGGGTCTTGTCAGCGTGCCATGGCGTCCTTAGCACGCCCGTTGGCGTTTTTTTAGTGCACCCGACCTCAGCCGTTACAGGTACAGGGTCTTTAATATTTCACGTGATGATAGCGTCTGAGCCAAAGAGACTCTCTCTCTCCAAGAAAAAAAGAGCCGTTTTTAAAAAGTGGACGAGTATGACGAGAGTTCAATTGATACGAAACTTCAGCCCTGTTTCGACGTTACAGTTACACTCTAATTTATAGCCTTGTTAGGGTCCCGCACCCTGTAGCATCGACCCTATATGCCGATCAATCCTGGAACGAGATTGAGATTGTCTATTCCTTCGAGTTTCAGATTTTTCCTTCCGCCTTTATGTTGGCCCTGGACCCCACTGTCTTTCCGCCGCCGATTTAGTGATGATGGTGCCTGAAGCAGTACCCACAGCGGGGTATCTCGCTATAAATGCATGATATTCGAGAAGAGTCTCTAAAAGCAATTTTAACAGAGCTTTGAACTCTCCAGAGACAAAGCATCATTTCTTCCGATGCCAGAAGAATGTTTCAGTCATGACGATATAGAAATCGTTGATCATTCCTCCCCTCCGGCCGAGATACCCGGTAGCCTTGCTGCGACGGCCGCTGGAATTCTAGGATAACGGGCTTTGGCGTGTGCTGGTCACAGGTAGGTCCTGAAGAGTATGGGGGTGGAGGAGTTGGGTCATTGTGTGATGCGGTTTGCAATTGGTAGGAGTTTGCGCTCTTTTCAGATGTTGAGTAGTATTGGTTCGGTGAGTTTGTCATTGAGTTTCCTGATAGGAAGCTTTTGATATGGTTCATGACGATCGACATGGCTGCAAGGTCAGATTTGAGCAGGGTTTATGAGGAGGGAAGCGGTGATGCCAATGACAAAGTGGTAGTGACGAATACAATGGAATGGTCTATTGGAAATATCGTCTTGTTAATTGAACACTGAGACTTTATATAAGACAAATCCGTTATTTTTGGAGTCGTTGTCTCGACTGATCAGCAACATCACCTACGTAGCCTCAATGTTAGTCTTCGTGGCTTAGCTCGCCCAATATTCCGATTCCGGCTTATCCGCCCCTTCACCACTCGCCCGCTCGCCAATCGCAAAGTGCGAGTGAGGCTTATCCTTCAACACGCGTATCGAATTGGGGTGCTGCGGAATCCCGATAAGGCTGACACTCTCCTGATAGTGCGTAAGACGCGCCGCAATGAGCTCGATCGAGGATAGTTGCTGCTCTGGGCAACGGCTTCGACTGCGGCGATTCGACTCTTTGTCTGCTGCTCCGAAACGGAGGCCGGGAGCTCCGCGGAGGAATCCGATGAGGTTTGAGTTTATGGAAAATTTAGATTTCACTAATTGATGGAGACGAAACTCAAGATGATGGTCACTCTCGGCACTTTTAGGAATTGCGTCATTCGAGACATACTTTTTAGGTCGAGCACAACAATAGCCGTATTCATAATTCTTGGCTATTCTGAAGCCTCAACTACCAAACACTCTCTTCTTGTTTCTTTACAGGACGATACACAAAATAGTGAAACTCTGCTGACTTGCCATTCCCATTCAAGTCCGAACAAGCCATACCAACAAACGCACCGGTGAAAGAACCCCCAGAACCTCGTGGACCACAACTGCACTCGTCTGAGAGTTGAGAAGCGTCCAAGACAGGTCCGTACTTCTCAAGTGGCTTATCTTCAATAGAGTAGTAGAATTGCAACTCTGTCTCCCTGATAGTGAGCGCCAATTTGACTTTTCCTGCTGGTGGGAGACTGATCGGATCGAGATGATGAATCTGGAGCGGCCCCGTTGGCCACGATACTTCCGAGCTCATGATGGACAAGAGTCTCTCGCCATCTTCATTAGCTGTGATGTGAAGATAGAAAAAGTTGAAGCGGCTGTAGTAAGCAGTGAGACCCGCAAATTCGCGTTCATTCTCTGGCTTGAAGTCGATGACAGTTTCGGCATCATATGAGAAATGAGTTTGGCGACGAGCTACGAGGGCTTGTTCGAACCAGGAGCCGATGGCATCACGCCCGTGCAGAACCAGTTTTCCATTTGTAGAGAAGATTTTCTCTGGCTCTGGCGTGCGAAGCCACTGAAAGTCGATAGGTAAACCACTTTCGAAAGTGTATCGAATCTCTTGCCACTTATCGTCTTCATTTCGTGTGCCCGGCACATCAACTAGTGTTGAAGGAACTGGTCCATTCTTGACATACAGCCATCCATCGTCTTTCCAGAATGCTTCTTGAATAGCTGTCTCACGTCCAAGAACACTCCGGCGATTTTCTGTTATCGGTCGACTGAGAAGATGAACAAGATATGTTCTTCCGTCTGGTGTCTCGACAAGATCGCCATGGCCTGCACGTTGGAGTTCGGCTGATGGAGACTCTCGAGAGGATAGAATGTACTTGTCCGGATGCAGCTCATAGGGACCCCAGACACTTCGAGATCGAGCAAGAGTGCATGAGTGATCGTATGATGTTCCACCTTCGGCTGTAAGAAGATAATACCACCCCTTCCGTTTATAAATGTGTGGCCCCTCCGTTATACCAATTTCAGTCCCATCAAAGATCTTCTTCTGCGGACCGACAAGATTTCCAGCTTCTGGGTCAAACTCCTGTAGCATGATGCCACAGAAATGATCTCTGTTTGGAAAACGGTGGTCCCTCCTCTGATTGACGAACCACTTTCTACCATCATCGTCGTGGAATAGTGAAGGATCTATACCTGAAGAGTTGGCATGGATAGGGTCTGCCCAAGGACCATAGATGGACTCAGAGGAAGTGATGTAGTTCTTCAAGTCCCAGAATGTCCCGTCCTTTCTCTTCACATCGGTATATACAAGCCAAAACTTCTGACCGTCGTGTGAAAGACAAGGTGCCCAGATTCCACCACTATCCGGATCTCCCCTCATATCTAAAAGGCTTTTGCGATCCAGAGGACGAGTGATGAGCTTCCAGTTTGCCAGATCAGTGCTATGATGAATCTGGACGCCAGGGAACCATTCGAATGTTGAGGTGGCTATATAGTAATCAGTGCCCACTCTGACAATAGAAGGATCCGGATTGAATCCAGGCAGGATAGGATTCCGAATAGTAGGCATCTTGGTGGCTCTGTAGACTTGAATTTCAAAAACATGAAGCGAGGACACAGATAGGCTGCTGCAAGAACTTATACTCCGACCCCGTAAGAATGGCCGGTTTACTTTACAAACAGACCAAAGCGAGCCGTTTAGCCTGATGAGTCTAACTGATCATCAAGCCCAAGATAAATGGGCGTGATGCAGATCCGTCAGACCATCTCCCCACTCTCGCGGAGTATCGCTCCTAAGTGTATGCGCTAAGAAATTCCTTATATGAGATGTCGTAACAAGCATGATAACGTGAAGTGATTATTAGTCTCTAACTGAAGATAATTCTTCGAAGTAGAGCCAGGCTCAACCATATATAAAAAAACCACCTTCGATATTCTAAAATGGCCCGAACACGTTCAACTGTGATACCTTATCCGTATTTATCGCGGAGTATCGCTTGAAATTGGAAGCCCATGATATGCTGCCTCGGCAGGAAGAAGTAAAAAATAACAGCTATGGGAAGTGATTGAGTATGATTCAAGGTAAGGCACATCTGTTTGAAGCTGTCTAAAATTCTCCTCTGACTTGCTTATGTGCAAAGCTACCATGCTTGCAGTGGCCAAGACACTATGCCCATGGCAGAGACGGCCACCCAACTCCCTCGAATGCCTTCATGTCTATCTAGGATCTTATGTCTGATATACCCTGGCAAAGGGAACTACTATTCCTTTTCTATGTAGTGGTCATGTCCCGAGTCCCTCTAGCTTGGATGCGGAGAATTCCCCTGCTCGCCTCTAAGTGGTATAGCCAATAGCCATCTTGCATAGCCACAGCACAGCGACCATGCGTCTATTTTCTGCAACCTTAGCCAGCTCCTCGAGCTGACTCCCATGATTTCCCACCTCTTTTCTTTTCCATATACACCAGAACAATAGACAATATGTATCTTATCAACGTTTCGACGTTGAAACTGGAAGAGTTCTATAGTAGTGTCCCCAAATATGCAATCTTATCGCATACATGGGGTCAAGCTAGTGAGGAGGTCCTCTTTCAAGAGATGCTCACCAATTCATCCGGCATGAAGTTCAAAAAAGGCTACAAAAAGATCGAATTATGCGCCAAGCAAGCTCAAAAAGACGGGCTCGACTACTGTTGGGTCGACACATGTTGCATTGACAAGTCCAGCAGTGCCGAACTCTCCGAAGCCATCAACTCCATGTTCTCTTGGTATCGAAACTCGGTTGTTTGCTATATATACCTTGAAGACGTCGTCCACGAGGAACATTCGGGTGAAGTTGACGAGTCTCTCGGAAAAGCACGGTGGTTTACACGGGGTTGGACATTACAAGAACTCTTGGCTCCTCGAGCCCGCCAATTCTTCGATGCAAACTGGACCATGATCGGAGAGATATCAAAGAGCCGCTACAGAGAACATCTCGTCAATGGTTTCTTTCGTATGGATACGACTGCCGATGAAGAAAGAGATTCTCAAGAGCTCGAGGGCATGAGTCTGGCGAGTCAAGTAGCCCAAATCACTGGGATTCCCAGGAAGGTCCTTTATGTCGGCGACCTCGGATCGTTCTCAGCGGCTACGAGAATGTCATGGGCAGCAAGGCGACGAACAACTCGCATAGAAGATCAAGCATACTGCTTATTGGGAATTTTTGGTGTTCATATGCCCCTACTCTACGGTGAAGGTAACCATGCGTTTATACGGCTGCAAGAGGAGATCGTCAAGAAACAGCCAGACCATACACTGTTCGCATGGCGCTCAGAACCAACTTCACCAGCACCAACATTCAGCGGTCTTCTTGCTCCTTCACCAAGAAACTTCTACAGCGATCATTGCCGTGGTATTTTACCAAAGCAGGTTGACATACCATATGAAATGACGAACAAGGGCCTGCATTTACAAGTTCGTCTGGTTGAGCATGTACCGGGATCCGATGAGTTCTACGCCATTTTGGATATCACCCACCAGCCAGATCCAAAGAAAGATATATGGTATGGCATCAAGCTTGGACGTTTGGACAGTTGTGGCCAATACGCTCGAATCAACACGGGAGAACAACTAGTTCGTGAGGTTGAAACGACGCGTACACTTTCAATCAAGCCAACACATATTTATATTCAGCATTTCATTCGCCACAACTCTCCACTATATGGCAGAAACAAACCTTCTACGGTTGTTCTGGGCTGTGCTATGGAGACGATGTCATTGACAATTCTTGAAGCATCAGGGTCCAAAAGCTGGAGTTCAGAATCATTTACGTTTCTCCCCTCTAAGGATGATCTCTTTTATGCCAGGCTTGCACTCCATTGCAAGCCAAACCTAAAAGGTTCGTCTCCGTTGACTATTGGATGGATAGTCAGGAAGGATGATATAGAAGGTATCAAGTCTCATCTTGCCATTCTCAAGGAAAAGAATGATTTATATCGACCGAATACTCTTTGGGAGAATGGCATTCGATCGGGAGTGGTCAAGATATATCCTCAGTCAACTTACCATATCCGTGATGGTGAAATGGTGGCTATGATAGCTCTCCATGATCAGATAAACCTCAAAAACTAAAACTGGGTAGCTAAAACCCCAGTCCCTCTACTTCTGAGCTAGAAGAACCCAGCTCTCAAATCTGATCCCCCCGTGAGATTCTACTTCCTTCTTGAGTACTTCCTCAACAGCCTCTGGCCACTTCTTCTCCTCCTGCTCAGTATATCCCGCTCGAGCAGGACGCATCAGATCTCCAAGCATAAACCTTTTCAGTCCATCTTCCAGTTCAGGCCCGCTAACGACGATACTGTCCTCCACAAGTTTGAAATTGGAAGAGTCAAACCCAGCTTCGATCGTCGTCTTTTCCAGAACACCTGGTTCAAAAAATTCAGGATGGGGCATTTTCAGAGGTGCAAGGTCTGGTCGGACAATTGCTTGGGCAGCGTGGATGAGCTCACCAACACCGAAGCGTTTCCAGCAGGAGATGACGGCTAGCCCACCAGGCTGGAGCGTACGGTAGATCTCCTTGACGCCTTTTACGGGGTCGGCCAGTGTGTAAACACTGAAGTTGAGGATGCTGTGTGTGAAGTGCTCATCGGGGATCCCTTCTAGATTCTGAGAGTCAAGAACCTTGGCTTCAATCTGCGGGAGGGAAGTAAAAGAATCTTTGGCGGCTTGGACCATCGGAGGTACATTATCCGTCACCAGAATCTGAGGGACATCAGCAGCGGTGAGTCTGTCAACCAGAACTAAGGCTGCGATTCCCGGACCGGCAGCATTATCATGAACCACCGAGTCTTTGGTGATAGGTTTTGTGGCTTGAATACTATCGATGGCCAAGTCAAGGACACGGTATGTGCTTCTTCCGGTTTGTTGAAGATAGTTTGCCGCAAACGCAGAAAAATATGATGAAGAGGGGAGATCTTTGCTTTGGGACGTTGCCATTTTGAAAAGTTTGGTTTGTTGAGCTGTCGAGTTGTAATTTGAGGTCACTGTAAGCTGACAATGTAAGCCTTTTTATACCAAGAATGGCTCTATGAGGTTGAGGGGTTGAAAGAGCCTTCAGTGGAGTCATGACAGCAGACAATAAGCACTAGGACTCTTTGCAACGCGATAAGCCGAACAACGCGAGAAGAGCGCGAATAGGAGATATTTCCCGCCGGTGAAGTGAGATGTGAGATGTGAACCCAATGACCGAGGCTGCAAAGATCACCATGCCACAGAGCTTTTGATTATGTTCCTTGGAATTTGCATTCTCGTGGATAGTTTATTAGAATATTATATCGATCTCTCCCAACGAACCCGAATAAAAGTTCCCGCTGAAATGTTCAGGTCCTTCAGCTCCCTGTACCGAGTCCTGTTCTGGGCTTATGATGAAATTGTCATTGAAAAGTGAGGTTCCATCATTTGATATAAACTCCCCCAAAGAATGGAGATCTTTCCACGAGAAGCTGTTAAACGGATCAGAGTTCATGTGCCCTTCACTCGATTCAGCTTGTGACTGTAAAGCTCCGTGGCTGGTCAAGGCCAAAGAGTCTGATCGTCCTTCAACTTCGGGGTTCCGTGATCTTGACTTTCCGAGCATCTTCAGCCACAGAAGCCTAAGAGACCTAGCGTAGCGCTGACCGAGACCCTGTTGATTATTCGAAGTTTTCTGTAGACGGGAGATGGTTTCGTAGATGGCACGACGCACACCTCTTGCTTCTGACGGTTTGATAGCTCCGGCAAAAATGGCCTGCAGATGATTGTTGTCAGACTTGCTCCCGGATGAATTGAAGATATGCTTACCTTGAAGAGAAATACTGCAGCATAGATGACATAAAGGTAGAACTTGAGTGGCATATACTTAAAAGCTTCAGTGGGGTCTATGAAGCTGTTGAGAGTGCATAAGATAGAATTTGCGGCGTCGATAGACTCGTAAATGAACCTTGCATCTGGGGCAGCGGCGAGTTCCGAGAATAAAGGACCCGATGGTCTCTTCTTTGATCGTCGGACAATGCGATTTAAGTTTGCTTGAAAAGCAAATGCGTTGATGTATAGACGAAGAAAATCATATGATAACATAAGAGATGCTTTGACACGGGGGATAAAGCTGAGGCCACCCCAAGAGAGTTTCCATCTACGGAGGACCGAGGAGAAGTCATCCTATACAGTTAGCTGTATAGAACCATGGATCGAGGAAGGTTGCTTACAATGTATCTCACATACTCTCCTCCTATGTATAGCTGCTCTCTATGACTTGTTGACGAATACAAAATATCATGTGCGTTACTGAATAACTGAGTAATTTCAAGATGTGCTTGAAATAGTAGAGCCAAATTATCGTTGCCCAGCTTTTGTGTTTGGAGATATGGAAAGTCAGCCGCTCGAAGGTTCACGGATGGACCTGGACCACGAGACCAGAATCCTTTTCCGAGTCGTATTGAAACTTGGCGATCGCTCATATAGCAAGCTGCCTTCCTGTTAGTCGCTGAGGAGCGCCGCATGGTGGAGATGAAGTTACTTACCAGCCCAAGCTATTCGCTTTCTACTGAGATGATCCGGTGCACCTTCAACTCTCTGCACAAGACCAGTCTGCTCAAGGTTCTGCAGATATGCAAGACGAATAGCAACACCAACCAACATCCACGATCCCTGGTCCTCTTTGCCACATCCGATCATGAGGTTCTCCTCGAGTGGCTGAGGTGCCCACTCGGCGAGTATCAATAAAGCTTCGACTGCGCCGACGGTAGTAGAGCCGGTGTAAATCAGCTTGGAGATTTGAGTCTCCATGTGTCTCGCACAGGCATTATGGGCCCTGGACCATGAGGGATCATCTTTCGTGGCGACGGTGAGAATTGCTGTTACGAGATATGGTTCGTGTTCGATGAGTTCTAGGATACGGCTGGAGTCGAAGACTGCGCTGTAGGCGATAGGGAAGAAGATGTGAAAGTTGTCATGGTAGCTTTCCTAGGTTAGTCTGGATCTTAGAGTATGGGTATAGAGGAGCTTACTGTTCGATGAGAAAGGATGCCTCAGAAAGTGTCAATGCTCCAGAAGTAACAGGTGGATAGTCACAAACACCCTGGGATATGTTTGCCATCCTTGTAGAGTTTTCAGGATCACCTTCAGCATCTTGTGTTTGTGCGTGTCCCTCAGGTTCCATATCAGCCACATGAGCCAGCAAATCCAAGGCATCAGACGGATTCAAAAGATCCGACGACGTGAAGTGACCCTTGAGTCGCACCGCATCACCTGTAGGCTCTTCATCATCCTCGGACTGTTGATCTAGAGGCGACCCAAGATTAGATGATAACCATTCACTATGTTGGTCTGGTTCACGGGGTTCTTGTGCTGGCACTGAATTCATTCGGTTGATTGGTCTGCTTGGCGATGCTTGATGGGAATCATTTGTTGATCTAGAGTAACCGAGACGCTGGCCCTTGATACGACGACCACCGCGTCGAGATGTAGCGAGAATACATTCTTGATTCTTCTCGATGCATCGCCGACATGGAGGGTCTCCAGGCACGCCACTAGAGTCACTTCTCACACGTCAATCGATTTCTTCAGCCAGAGTCGGCAATCGGCATGACTTACAGGTCACATCGGGTCTTACGAGATCTGCAGCTCACGCAGGCTCTCGAAACCCTCTTCTCGGTCTCTGGTACCGTCGGCGGCGTCATCATGCGTGGGATGGGTTTCAAACACCGAGAGGAGAGGAGAGGGGGGAACGCGGCATTTGAATATGATGAGGGTCTTGGTCAACTAATCATACGACGACATGGGCCTAGGAGGCCTAGAATGGCATGGCTTGGGTTAAGCTTTGAGCTATGGACGTGTACCGATGTCACAGGACTTGAAGATACTGAGCCACGACGGAATATTCCGCTAAAGGACGTGACTAGGGGGTCTAGATTCTAGAAAATGGCATGGAAGCTGAGAATTATTGGTGATGGCTATTGAAGCTGAAGGCCCCGGCCTTTGAATCGTATCACACTAAAGCACTAAATCGCGAGCTTCTCCAAGGGAATGGGTCGCCTAAGAAATAATTTGTGGATTTTACATTTGCCCCAGCTTTAAACACCTGATATTAACGAGGGATCGGGAACAAGAGGATAACCTGCAGCCAAAATATCTTAATTCTAATCTACACGAATTACACTGTAAGAAACATCTATTTTAAATTCTAGTTAATTTTAGTTGACCCAGCTGCTGGTGAAATCAGAGTCTAGTGACCTATTTCAAACCACCACTAAGCAGAATATCCTGTCCAGTCATGTATCCATTTCTTGCCAACCTATGACACGCATTAGATAATTAAAATCAGTGAGTTCAACGGGACTTACATGATGATCGCTTCACAAACCTCATTGGGTGAGCCGAGACGATGAACTGGAATAGATGCAGCAATGGCAAGGCCAGGATCAGTCTTTTTCAGCTCGTCCAAGTCACATCCTTTATCCCAGGTTCTACAACCAATATTAGCCAAGTTAATATTGGATTAACGGGAAGATCTTACTCTGAGATGGGCGGTGGGATCATGCCCGTTGAGCCAATCATAGCTGGCGAGACCTACATAAACTGTTAGTTTCACAGAGTGTGATAGATAGCTCGAAGAACTTACGATATTGACTGTAACGCCTTCAGGTGCCAACAAAGTGGCCAAATTCTGGCCCATCGAACTATGGCTTGTCAGCGTGATCACACGAGACCTTCTGTGTTACTCACGTCAGAGCACCTTTCGAAGCAGCATAATGGCATCCATTCAGCCCGCTTCCACGAGCAGCAATACTTCCAACTAGTATAACCCGCCCCCAGCCTTGCTGTCTCATACCATCAAGACAAGCTTTGGTAACGACAAACTGACTTCGGCTGTTGACCTCCATCATCTCATCCCAATCATCCTCTCCAATCTCCGCAACATCACGGATCCGTCTTCCCAAGCCGGCATTTGCCACTAGGATGGAAACTGCCTTGTGCTTAGATGAGACAACATCTTGGCTCAATAAGCTTGAAACCAAAGCTCTTGTTGACTCTCGTTGTGAAAGATCTGCATGCACAGGCACAAACAGCTGAGACGGGTATGTCTCACTCAGCTCTTGTGCAAGCTTGTCTGCCTTTTCTTTACTAGAAGAATAATGCAGACCAACATCACAACCTTGAGCAGCAAAGGCTCTCGCAACAGCGGAACCTATTCCGCCACTACAAGTCGTTAGTCTGGCTGACAATACACCTCCGACAAAATGGCAAAAACTCACCTTGAACCCGTCACCAAAGCCAATCGGCCTTTGAGGCTGTTGTCTATCGTCTGCAATCGAAGCGTCATCCTTGTATGGTTCCAAACTTGTTTATGCAAATCATGCAAGTGCTCGTTATTGACTTTACTTGCTCATCTTATAAAGGGCGAGAAGCTAAAACTTAGCTCTGCCGCTATTCCGAAGCCATTTACCATCGGCGACTCCTTTTTTCAAACACCGACGGCAATTGAAATTAGCTCTAACTAATGGATCCTGGAGAAAGAGTCACTAGCCATTTCCCCCGCAAACATGGGGTCCCCATGGAGTAGAGTCGTATTAAGCTTGGGAATGTGGGTTGGTCTTTATTAACCCATCCTCCGTCTCTACTTTTTGGATTCAATCTTCGTTCTCCACGATACAAGGCATATCAAACACTCTATTTCTTTGTTCTTTAGTCGATCAACTGTTCATCATGGAGTTGCAGGGCCAGAGCCTCATCTTGACTGTCAGTGTCTTGACGTCGTTGGGCTTTATGCTCATCGGTTATGACAATGGCCTAATGGGAGGTCTTGTCAACACTACGGCTTTCAAAGACACCTTTGATAGTCCCGATTCTGACATGATCGGCGTCATTGTCGCCATTTACGAGAGTAAGTTCCACTTCGCCAATGCACTATGTTGGTCACTGACAGTTACTAGTTGGATGTTTCTTTGGTGCTGTCTTCTCCTCTATCTGGGGTGAGAAGCTCGGCCGTCGACGCTCTGTGTTCGTCGGTTGCGTGTTCTTGATCATCGGTGCCGTTCTTCAAGCCGCTTCTTATACACGAGCTATGATGATCGTTGGTCGTATCGTCGCTGGCGTTGGCATGGGTACTGTCAACTCTACTGTTCCTGTCATGCAGGCCGAGTTTAGTCCTAAGTCAAGTCGTGGTATCTGTAAGTCTGGTCCCTGATCATGAGGAATCACCCCCTAATATAATATAGTTGTCTGCGCTCAGCTTTCGACTCTCAACTTCGGTATCTTCCTCGTTTACTGGATCGATTATGCCCTATCCTCCCATACCGGAAGCTATGCTTGGCGTGTTCCTGTCATTCTTCAGTGTGTTCCTATTCTGGCTATCATGGGTCTCCTGTTTGTGATTCCAGAAACACCACGTTGGTTGGCAGCACACGACAGGCCGGAGGAGTGCCTTAAAGTCCTTGCTCGAATCCAGGGCACTTCTACTGATGATCCTCAAGTTCAAGTTCTTCATAGTGTTATCACTCAGACTGTCGCATATGAGACATCTATTGGTGCAGGTTCCTGGAAGGATCTTCTCAAGGAAGATAGCATCAAGTCTCGCAAGAGACTTCTTTTGGCTTGCTTCCTGCAGGCGGCACAACAGCTCGGAGGAATTAACGCCATCATTTGTACGTTTAAGCCCTTCTTATCATGTTAATGAGCTATACTGATCATCTGTAGACTACTCAAGCACCCTCTTTGAGAAGAGTGTCGGTTTCTCTGCTCACATGTCAGCCCTCATGTCAGGTTTCCTCCAGACCTGGTTCTTTGTTGCCTCTTTCATTCCTTGGGTCTTGATTGATCGCATTGGACGAAGACCTCTTGTAAGTATAGTGAAATACTCTCCTTATACACTAAGCTAACTTGATAAAGCTCCTATCCATGATCAGTGTCATGGCTGCCACTATGGCTGTCCAGGCAGGTTTGATCTACCAGGTCGAGAACAACACTTCTACAGCACACGCCGCGGGTATTGCAGCTGCAGCTATGTTGTTTGTCTTCCAGGGTGCCTTTACCATTGGTTTCCAGGCCACAGTCTGGGTCTATCCGTAAGTCATGCTCATACCAAGCTTTATGTTTCAATACTAACAGGTTACAGCTCTGAGATCCTTCCTCTTCGCCTCAGACAGCGTGGTTCTTCTATCTCTACCGCTGCTAACTGGATCTTCAACTACGTATGTCACCCCTTTCTCCAACACATAGCTCTGCTAACTCTTTTCCAGATGATTGTTCAAATCACTCCCATCTCCATTGATAACATTGGCTGGAGGACATATATCATCTTCGCAGTCCTGAACAGTCTCTGGGTTCCTGTCATCTTCCTCTTCTTCCCCGAAACCAAGGGTCTCGAGTTGGAGGATGTTGACCACCTCTTTGGTGGAGAGGACATTATCAGCCAGGTTGATGAGAAGACAAATGCTGCTGTTGTCATGATGGAGACTGTTGGCAACAAGACTGCTGCTTAATCTACTCAGAATTACTATTGAGAGTTGAGAGTTGAGGATATACTATTCACGAGAGTTGTAAAATAGTCTGGAAGATTTAGTTGACGGCTCCAGAGAGGATAAAGGAGCGAACAGTAATCAATGTCATTGATACATCTTTAATGATGTCATTGGAAAGTTACATGAATAGCACTTACTGCCAAATAATGCTTGATTGGGCGTCCTATCGTTCATATGCACAGAGTTTACGTATTCTCGCTGCGTGGCTTCGGCATATGAGCCACCCGCTGCAGACATTTCCGCATTGGGAACGGAATTAAGTTCAGCATTAGCCGCTGAGGGGTAACGGCACGTAACTCAGCTCAACCTCCAAATTCCAGAGCCCGATGCCCCAATATTTGTTGTGTTATGCCATCCTCTTCTTCATATCCCGCTTGTCTAGCTACCCCAGCACTTCAACCTCGGCATACAACCCTGACTACCACTCGGCATAATGTCGTTCAAGATTTACAACGAAGGGGCCAGTGCCATCTTTGATGCTTCTTCAACAGTCGAGGTGATTCACGAGAATGACCAGTATCCCTTCGCCCACGAAGCTGGCGTCTTCATTCCAGAAGAAAATGCCCTGTTCATCACGAGCAACCAATTCCCAGACCCTACGACCGGCCAGAAGACGATCCAAATAAGCAAAGTTCAACTTTCCCCCGATGGGAAGTTCATCGGCTGCGAAGAGGTCAACGCGCCTGATGTTATCATGGCCAATGGTGGTGTGAACTACAACGGCGGCGTGCTATTCTGCTCGCAAGGATCCCTGACTACGCCAGGAGGTCTTGTATTTATGCAGCCTATCGCTCCTTACAGATGCGCAGCGATTGTTACGTCGTTCTACGGGCGAGACTTCAATTCTCTGAATGACGTGGTTGTTCATTCTGATGGCTCCATATGGTTCACAGATCCAATTTATGGATACGAGCAGGGTATAAGGCCAATCCCCCAACTACGAAACCAAGTCTATCGATATGATCCCAAAGACGAGTCGATTCGAGTTGTTGCAGATGGATTTGGCAGACCAAACGGTATCTCATTCAGTCCTGATGAGAAGGTCGTCTACATCACTGATACGGACTGGATCCACGGCGATGGAACTACTGATGACACCCGAGCGAGGACCATGTAAGTCGCCCGACGTCACAGCGCCACGGAGTTAGCCTGCTAATAATACAAAACAGCTACGCCTTTGACCTATCAACCATCTCAGGTGAACCATTCCTCACAAACAAAAGAGTGTTCGCCATGGCAGACACCGGAATCCCCGACGGCATCAAATTGGATACGAACGGCAACGTTTACAGTGGCTGTGGCGATGGCGTAAATGTCTGGTCACCAGGTGGCGTCTTACTTGGTAAGATTCTTATTTCTGGAGGCGTTGCGAACTTCTGTTTTGGTAGAAATGGCGAGTTGTTTATGCTGAACGAGCACAAGATTTGGAGAGCTCAGCTAGCCAGCGGTGTCAAGGGGGCGCTGCTCGGCATCTGAAGACTCGGCATCTGAAGACATGTTTACTTGGGGGGACTAACGGCGGCCACAAAATTGTATTCATTATTTTTATCACTTTAATATCAAGGCACATGATTCTTCATGCCATGTGCTCGCGTGCCGATAGAAGCTTGACCATTTATGGTGGCATTTGCCGTTTGCCGATCTTCGGCCTCTGCTCCGGCATCTGAAGCTAAAGCCGGCCCGTTCCCCAAACAGTCTCAGTAAATCACGAGAGCAAAACCCGATAGCGAATGCCTCGGCTCTTACATCGTCCGGCAATTGAAGCTCGGTAAATGATATACCTATAGATTCTTACCCCAAGTCACTGCTCTTCATACGCCGTCGCCCATCTCAACCTACTCCAACAAGCTAACAACACCGCGGGGATCCAAGTCGTTCTTCCAGAATCAATCTACTATCACATACACACACACACACATAGCCATGTCTTCCCAAACGAAAAAACAGCCCAGCAAGGCTCGAGTCCGCAAATCAAGAAGCACAACAACCAAGCAGCTAAAGCCCAAGAGCACAGCGCTATCATCATGTCTATTCTGTCTCCGAAACCGCAGAAAATGTGTACGAGTAAACGGACAAGCACAGTGCTCTGAATGCACAGCTTTATGCCAGACTTGCCACTGGCCGAATGCGCAGCAGAACCGTGAGTCGACAACATCAGATCTCTTGTGACTCTTCTAATATCAATGGCAGTTCATCAACTATTGCACGAGAAACAACAACTATATCTTCAACGGCGGTCGCTATCAAAAAGCCTACTAGAAGGCGTCAGAGACATGGAGTTCTGCTCATCGACGATAGAGACACAACGGACTTTGAAGAGGTTACTGGACGATATGGTTAATGTGGAACAAAGGGCATTCCAGCTCGAGTCGGAGGAATCAAGACTTTGGGGGCTGAGGCTCAGGGCCCAAGACAGCGATGATATAGATTCGGAGGACTCGTGTTCAAGTGGGATTATGTCTGAGCCATCTCAGAGTCTCGATTATAACTTTGCTTTTCCATGGTTAGATTAATATCAAGATATCTACAAAGGGGTGGCATGCATCGACATAATCTTATAACTCCACCAAGTCCAAAACAATAATCTAAAAATAGGAAATAACTGAGGGCATTGAACGAGGTCGAGAGCAATGGATCAAGAGCTAGACTCCTGGAAAAGAGCCTGATCACCCCCCACTTGACCAGGATCCGGCTCAAACGTCTCTTGTGCACTGTACCAAGGAGTATTCCCTGCCCCAGGCCTCGAAAAGGGACCACCCCCAATCTCTTCAACGCTCGCAGCCCCGGCGACATCATGATACGAAAACCCGTAGGTGTCAATAAATTTAAGACAGTCAAGATCTTCCCCAACTCCAGTTTCTGACTGGTCGGCAAATAGTCCTGGAGTCGGAGTGGTAGTGTTGTCGACTTCCATCACCACACTAGGCTGAATTCCGTTGAGTCCATCTTGATCATACCCAAAGCCCCTCGAAGTAGGTGTTTGTGATTCTTCAGGTATGTAGTCTTTCAAAGCCGAACCGGATTGTGATTGATCAACTGCTTCTTTTTCGGAAGCTACGTGGGCGATAATCTCATATTTGATAGGGTGATCACCCAAAATCTCGCCTAGTAGTTGTCCACGCGCACACCTCGTCATTGTTGGCCATAGATGACCAAGTCCAGACTCATGTATCATTTGATGAACCATATCCTGCACATATGACTGACGGAAGTAGTCGTGGCATTGAGCCAGTTCCCTCTCATAGTCATCATCGAGATAGGGGCTCGAAGGAATCGGTTCGTGGGGGAAGATAATCTTGAAAAGCCTCTCCCATTGCTCTCTTGAGGTCAATCTGGTGTTAGATCTCTCATTGATAGCAGTTGCCATATCTCTCGTGATAAGCCCGACTGGGGGTGGGCGTGTCGGACAGCCGAATAGACGTTTGCATACTTTCTCATGCTGAGTCAATTCCTCTGGTCGAAGGTCTTTGAAACAGACGCAGCAATGATGGGAGAAGTGCTTCTCTTGGATGTGTTTTCTCAGGCGATATATATCCCTGAGTTTCTTGACACAACTCTCTCTGTATTTTATGGGATTCCACTTCATGAAAGGACAAGCCCAAAGGAGGTTATTTTCGGAAGATGCGTTAGTAGTGGACGAGTTTTGCCTATTGCCGCTAGATTCTTCATCCTCACTCCCTTCGTCTCCGTCAATAGTCTGACCTCTGCGGCCGGTCGACTTGACAGCTTTCCGTACAACTGTTGCTCGAGTTTTCTTGGTCGAACTGCTGGAGTTTCGATCAACTTGCATACGCTTTGCCGCAAGAGTCCGTCTTTGTGGCGCATACGACCTGTAGTAGTCGTCGGCAAGTGTTTCCACTATCTTCTTGAGAGTTTCCTGTACGGCAATCTCGTCCTGAGCAGGCTGGCTTGCGTCGATGAATTCTCCTCGAAAGGCGGCTTCAGAATGCGAATTATCGCTGGAACTGGAGCTTGTCGCGGGTGTGATGTCCGAATTCTGATCAAAATCTTTTCCATCGAGTTCACCTAAACCTACGAAACCTCCAACGCCAGCGACATCATATATCTGAAATACGTCATGTCCATGATCGAATACTCTTTTATGAGGAAATGACCTCTCGGATATCGAAAAGCCATGCTCTGAACCCGGGCCGCCTCTCGAGAACTGGTCATCGCGTGTCGCGGGCAGCTCCAGTGGCTGGCCATCAAAACACAGGCGGCCATCCTGCCATGAAAATTCAGGGATCCATGTCAATGTGCGGTTGACAATTGGCTGATCAGTCAGACTCTGTATCACCTCTTCGAGGTGCAAATTGCTTGCATGTGAGACACTCTGGGTTGGAGCAGTGTAAGAAGGTCCTGAGTGTGAAGGTTCAGAAGATGACATGACCTCTGCGAGCTCTGGTTGGGGCAATCTGGATGGAAGAAACGGCAGCATATCTGCCTGTGTAACATGGTTCTCAGTCATTTCCCAGGTCGAATCAATGGAAGGGTCGCCATCTTGCCCATCACCCAACCCTAAGAGTGAAGGGCCATGGGCCAAGTCTTCATCACGGGTAGTCACACCATTGGTCGCATCTCGGATCTAAGCTCAATATATCAGTATCACTGAGTTGTATCATGGATGTATGGTCAAAATGGGAGCAACTCACTCTCAGTGGAGGCTTTGTTGGAGTTATATCACCAGCAGCACCGCCAGGATTGGTGGAATCCACCGAGTCAGACATATTGTAGGTACCTCAATATAGATGTTCAAGGCACTGCAAATGTAGGTAGCCCAGGAAAAAGTATAATTAAAAGAATGGGAGAGGTGGAATTCATTTTGCGACAGTTCAGCTTCTTATGGTAAACTGAATTCAAAATTTGTCGATTTTTTTGCCTGTGTCTTGGATGTTTTTTTGAATTGAGAAACCCTGCAGAAAGCATTGGCTGTCATGACTCCAAATCATATCATCCATTCCCGAAAAAGCAATGAGGCTTACAACTCATCATCTCATTGGGAGAGGACAAGCAGGCTGTATAAAGTGCATGTGCACGGGCTGACCGCTTGATACTTGAAGTACCCAAGAGAGCCTCAGCTTCATAACAATCACATCATGTAATCAATATGGGTACAATCGAAGAGTTACAAGTCATGAAAAAGCCAACCAGTGATTAATTTTCACATTGGCACTGCTGCTGTGTAATCAAAATCAAGTAAATACAATACAACTCCGGTACCCAAACGCGTGCTCACATAACCCGCCATGACCTCTATGCACCTCAAGACGAAATCTATAGCAGGATCCGTATCTTAGATACCCTATGGCCACTGAAAAGTCTCGAATCCGTTCTCCATTTCCCAGCTGAGAATAACAATCCAAGTCTCTTCGCCATGTCATCCAGCCGATATCTGTTGCCACTTGCGTCCTATCCAACCACTTTAGCTTGGCCTGATCAAAGCCCGCTGATTCTCTGTGAACAAGATAGTCGATATTCCGAGAAGTATCAATTCTCCTGTTGATATCGTAGATGCCAACCCGCTTTATCACTGCGAATGGCCTCGATGGCTCTCTGAATGCCGAAGACAAGTTGTCGTGCCCCAGGAAGGAATATTGCTGATCATCTTTTCGCATTCTCGTTGGTCGTTCTCATTCTTCATATTAAAGCATGCTACCCGATGGAAATGCTGACTGGTCTCATCCAATGCGTAACTGAAATAGAGGGAGGTTGTGTTCCGATTCACCACGAGACCGTACATAAAGCTATTGAGCCCTGGGTCAGTCCATCCGCACGCTTCCAAGCGGCGGTACAGTCTATCGACCATCCTGATTTCAATGGAAGCGCCCTGAAGACAGTTGAGTTCTGGCTCACCAATAGTGTCACATAGATTTCCGAAGTGGTATCCTCACACGAAGGTTCTAAGACTTCTCAGACTTCAGAGTTGCGTAAGGGGATAGAGGTTTCTTGTGAAGATTTTGAGGTGAAAATATTTATACTAGGAGAGTAAAACAAAGCTGCTGAAGGAATAGGTTTGGTGAATGCAAATCTTTAACAGAATGGGTCACTATTCACTAAGTTAGTAGGTATCAAAGAAACACCCAAATCATACAACGTCACTTGTCGGTATGTCTTTCTTTCATAATACGCTACATTTATCTTTCTATCACAGGAAACAAGCTTTCGAAAGTCGTTATAAGTGTACAGCACGAATGATACTATTATGAGCTACCGGCGACAGCACGAGTCTCTGGTTCACACCATGGATCACGAGCCAGTCCATCCGGCATGTTTTTAGATTGTCCACAGATTGTTTACTGCGTCAATGGCTTGTGCTAACTCCACGGGTCCCTGTGTTGCAAAGTTCATGTTGTGCTATTTGCTACAGGTTTAAACCACATATTGGGGTAGGCCGCTACTTTCTGTCTGATACCTCGCTTTGTTTTTGGCAAACAGCCTGATACACCGTCTCGAGGCTACAGCGGGCTCTGATAAGCCTCAGGATAGCAACAGCGTCCTCCAATTTTCCAGCATGCATGAACTCTATAATGGAAACATACATTGCTGTTTCCTGCTCCACAACTTTGATTCCCTCCACAAGCTCAGCTATCGCTACCTCGATGGGAACCTCCAAATTTTCTATATCTACCGGTTGATACTTCATATTGAATTCGCTATCGGCAGGGAGAGTTATACTATTAAGCGATGAGTACCGGAACAAAGGATGGCAACTTAATATTAGCGCTTTAAGAACCAATGGCAGCTTCTCTGATTTGGGATCGCGGTGATCATGAACGGGGCATTTCAGAGAAACTTGTCTTACTTACTTCAGGTTCCTTCTCCTAAATAATAAGTTCACCAGGAAAGGTCTCTGTTACTCGGCTGAACGATGCAGTAAAGACTGCGAGGTTTGGTCAAGAATAAAGCGATATTGAATTTATGAGAGTGTTGTAGATTGAGGTCCAGAAGTCTCATCGAATGGTGGAGAGACGTCGTCTCAGGAAACGAGAAACTCAAGCGGGGATGATTTATGTAAATGATGGGTGACCCGTGTTCATAAGACGGGCAAAAGACGGCATACTTAAAGGCATGCGCCTCCAGGCCCCTAAGCGTTACACCACTTATGTAGAGTTTACAACTCCGGGGCTTCTGATTAGACAACTCGCTAGGACGAGTGTTGTTGCAGAGGGCAACCTGGACTGTGATTGGCAAGCCATGGCGGAGGGTAGTCCGGGACTCTCTCAATGAAAGATATAAAAAGAGCGGGAGCAAGAATGACGTAATTGAAAAAAAATATCTCAAGTCAATATTCATTTCTTTTAAACTGGTAAGTTGATTTTTTCCCCCTTGGGAATCATCTTCTCTTTGGTGTTCCTCATCGCTGCACAAGTGGTTCTACACCCAACAGCTCGGTCACGGGTTCTAGCTATCAAACATAGTATACATTGGTGATTGAGTTTTCAACAATCAAACGGCGTAATTGGTTTAGTGGTAAAATTCTCCGTTGCCATTCGAGCAGCGTCGGGGAGCCCTGGGTTCGATTCCCAGATTACGCATTCAAAGTCTTCTTTTTGGGCGATTTAGCTTTGGGCTGTGTCGTATGTATTCTTTTTGGTGGTGGTGTGATGTTGGCATTGACTGGTTGTTGAAGCATGGCTTTGTTCTTCGGTGGTCGAGATTCTGCCAAGAGTCCAGTGGTAGCAGTGCAGTCGCAAGTCGACTGTTCCTGCCTTGCCAAGACTTTTGCTTCGCCCACCTTGTGAGGCAAACATCGCCGATCCCCAGAATGAAGTCACAGAGCATGTCCCTTGGGGCACGTGTACGGACATCAAAAGCAGATCTGATGGCAGTGGTCTTAATGAAGCGGATATAAGCAGCATCAGAGAAAACTCAGCCACCTTCTGAGATAGGAAACGGCCGACAGATGAGGAAACGATACGAATAGAGTTGCAGGTTTCCCGCCTTAAGCGATTGGCTACAGCGAGGTCCCATACGCCACATTAGCCTTGCCAGGCTAGGCCAGGCAGCTAGAGCCTAACAAGAGTGCTGCACACAAGGTTAATTTTAGCATTGTCTCCTGTTTGAGGTGACGAGCGGTGTATTGGTTGTATGCAACGGTGAGATATGGCCCAGACTATACACTCACGAGGAACGTTGCATAGAATGTCAGACAGAGTCATAAGTGTAAGCATTTAACCTCTTCTTCATCTTTAGGCTAGACAACGCATTGACCTAGACCGCAATGAACCAACAACCTCAGTGGAGATACTCTGGACCCTCGCTTCGCTTCTGCGGCGCGATCAACCTGGAGCGCCCACTCAGCCTTGCCAGGGGTGATCGTCTGAATCCTCCGCCAAGATCGATCCCATTCTCCTCATTGGATGCTTCTGCGGTTCCCATTAACTGTGCCTCGCAAAATTTCCCTTGGTCTGGCCGGTGACTCTTTGCCCAGGCGGAAATGGCACGTTGTAGCGGCCATGTCCCAACTCATCACATCGTGAGCGTCAACTATAAGTAGTCTGTGTCCTCACACGTTATTAGGATCATAATCCATAAAGCATCTCTCCAAGAACATCTCACTTATTCACTCTCGAATATAATCGCTCGCTTACAACAAACCAACCACCAATATGCAGACCAAGTACATCTCCCTCCTCGCCGCTGCGGCTGTTACCACCGTCTCTGCCGCTGAAGTCAAGCGCGTTGACGTCGTTCACATCTTCGAGACTCTCCACGTCGGCAAACACATTCCCAGCTTCACCCCCAACAAGCGCTCTGTCAATGCCATCTTTGAGCGTGACGACAAGGAGGAGTGCCAGAGCTCTGCCATCTCTATCCTCCGAAGCGCACCCACTGCCAACAGAGACCTCGAGTCCTGGGCTCTTACTGCTGAGACCACCGACCCTTGCACTCTCACTGCCCCCTCTTCGCTGTCTTCCGATCTCTTGAGCTATATGACCGCCGTGGTCGAGTGGTCTAACGAGAAGGCCGATGATATGCGGGAGATTGTTGACAAGTGTCTTGATGGAGAGGACGCTGAGGACGCCGAACTGGGCGTTTGCTCTACTCCTGGAACGATCATCTTTACTGCTGTTACCACCACACAAACTGTCCAGCTCAAGACTGTTCTCGAGACTTTCGCTACTCCTGGTGCTTCTTCTACTGGCAGCGCTGGTGGCTCTGATGACACCGAGAAGACCAACGCCGCTGCTCCTCGTGGCGCCAACTTGTTCGCTGCTGTTGCCGCCGTCGGTGTCGCTGGTTTCATGATTGCCGCTTAAGGGCTTGATTCAGGCTTTAATGGATGGGTGGATGCTTAATGGATGAATATGCACATTATGGACTTGTCATGTTTAGATGATGGATAGAACGGATTGACTTTTGTATGATATCCCGTGCAGAATGCTGCACTTTACTTTAGACTATATATTTAATGGTTACCTATGGGATGTTTCATTTTGCTGTACCCTCCCTGACTTTCTCGATGCTTCTCTGAAACGCAGCTACCTTTCTTGTCGGCTCAACTCTTTCATTTCCATATTTAGGTACCTAGATACCTAAACAATGATCATGTCCCTGATTCACTCACAATTCAGCAGGTGCTCTTTCGGCCTGGTTAGGTAGGTAGCTTTCATTGGATGATCCAATCTCTGATTGCTTCCTTCTGGCGAGATCCCCCCCATGTCTAGGTGTCTGCCTGCCTTTTAGTTTATACAATGCCATCGCGAGCCCCTCCACCTTCTTACAACTCCTCCTACGCGATGCCCGCGACTTTGCAGCCCTATTCTACATGCCAAACCTAGAGAGTCTCTACTTCAATGATTTGCGCTACAATTCATTTGACGACGCAAACAATATATACTATGATGTGGTTGCCCTGTATGACTTCCCATGCGGCACTTCGAGCGTCAAGCATCTCTTCATAGATGGCGCTTCGGGCATCTTTGCCAATTATTACCGAGCCATAGCAGATGCGTCGAAGAAATCAGAATCGGTCGTTTTGAGAGTTGCCAGTGAACACCAGCAACATCTTTACGACGTGGATATGTTCGTGGGCTCGCTTGCTTTGAGTAATGGGAAGACACTACAAAAGCTCATCCTTTACAACCCGCGCGGTATGCTCGGCGATCAATACGGCAACTATCTACTCGATGATCTTGACGAATTTCGAAACTTGAAGCTGTTTACGTTGTCGGTTTACGACTTAGCGCTTGAAGAGCTTTACCTGATGCATACTTCTCCCAATGTAGAGCAGCTTGCGGAATACGTCTCTGGCTCTTTCCCTGCTAGTACTGAAGCTCTTTATATCTGGGGACGATCGGACGAGTATGTGGACGTCCCAGCATCTGACGATATGCCATCAGATATCCTCGACTCAACACTTGCGTCACTCATCGAATCTGGCGTTCTTGAGAACCTTAAGGTCGTCTACCTCGCGGACTTTGAGATGCTACAGATCGCTTTTGAAGAAGACATCGATGGGGATATCAAGGACACGGGCCCAGAGCAACCAATTCTGCAAAAGTCTGTTGCTGCAGGACTCAAGGCTGGTGTGCATGTGTGCACGCTGATGAATAGAGATGATGGCGGTAATTGGAAAAGCTTTCCTGCAAAGCCGGATGGGTTTGACCTGAAGACTGGTCCTTGCTATGGCGAAAGGCCCGCATCGTGGAGGTTGAATTTGCAGTCTGGGGAATGGGGCCCGGATTGTGAAGGCTGCGGAGAGTGTATGGACAGCTTGGCTGTGTATCCTGCTGAGTTGTGGAAGCATTATCGTTCATGAGAAGATGGTATGACGAGTACCAGCAATTGTAGAAAAGGTGGATGGCCTGAGGCTTTAGCCTCGTAGTACATGTAACGCATGGATACCATGTTCATCAAGAGACTCACGATCGAACTGCCGGTTAAGGCGTGTGCCTCAGCGTTGCAGGTGTGATGTCAATGAAGTCCAAGATGATATCAACGATTAATACCTCGCCTCGAATATGATTCAGCTGAACAGGCATTAGTATCAGTCCATGACAAATCCATTGTCTCAACTCACCATCTTAGCCTCCTTCACGATCCTCAGGGCCGCGCGTATGACGCGTCTCTCACCACCCTCAATTGCCCAACAAACATTCTCTTCTCCTCTCTCATATCCTGGTATGCCACGGTAAAATGCATCAATCACTCCCCCTCATACCCCATCGCCCTCTTCCACCAACCCCCCAAGCCCCTCTCGTCCATGACCCTCCCAAACTCTCTTACCGACTCGGTCTCATCAAACCCTGACTTGCTTCCTACGCCCTCAGCCCTCGCAGGCTTCGCAACACATTTGAAGTCTTTGTACCGCAGCGCTTGTACTGTAGATACCCACTCTGTCAAACCAGCCTCATCGCGCCCCTCTGCAAACATTATCCCCGGTGATCCGCCGCTTCGCACATACAGCCAGTCCACGTTTAGTTGCTGTGCCGCACGACGGACGCGTGAGAGCTTTTTGCGGGATGTTATATGGTGGGTGCGGATTAGACAGTTGAAGAGTGAGGGTGTTCGTGACATGATGACACATGGTGATGTTGGAGAGACGTCAGTGAGGAGGGTCTTGATATCACACTCGGACTTTTATGGATCCGATGAAAAACACAACCACATCACAAGAAAACAGAGACAAAATGGTATAGAGAGTAGTCAACGTAAAATTCATCCTCGTATGTGCACATCTAAGGATATAAACCTAGCCTAAGCAAACCAAACGCCTTCCTGGTATGTATCGTATCCTCCGCAGCCGAGTCAAAACATCATGACATGACCAACATCAAAGTTTGTTTACATACACGTACGTTATTCTTATTCAGCAACATCAAGTCCCTCAAACCCCCAGGGACTCCTCGTCATAAATGGGTATAATGTGAAAGCTAAACGAACTTTCTCGTTCCCTGCACGCCAAAAGTTCGAGCCAATTTGCGCTGCGCCTCTCGGCTTAGACACCTCGGAACATGCGCACCACCAAGAACCACATCGCACCGATAAACTTGAACGCGCTCAGACCTGCCACACTCCAAAGGACGATAGACATGTAGATGTTGGATCGGCTCAGCTGTTCCGCTTCATGGTCCTTATCCTTGTTGGGGCTGATTCGATCTAGACCTGCAGAGCTCAGAACAAGCGCTGCCAGACCAAAGTTTGACACCATCCAGATGAGAACGACACCAGTACGAACACCTCTGTAGTAGTCCATTTGCTTCTCCTGAAGCTGGCTGGGAGTGGGAGTAGTCTTGACTTCAACGTGCTTCTGTGCAAAGACAGCAAGTTCTCGCTGATATTGTGCGTTCAAATCTCCTTCGTCGGGCAGATCCGTTTTTCCAGTACCATCCTTGGTGTTGACCGAAGGAAGCTTCTCAACCTTGTCGTCACCCTTGGTACCCCAAGAAACATCGTGCGTGTTGCAGAAGGCGTAGACGTTCAAAACATTTGTAAAGGTGGGCGTGAGAAGCATGTACTGGACCAAAGAGGTAGCCATGTGCCAGGGATCCAACATGATCAGCGAAGCGATCAACCAGATACCAAATGTCGACATGACTGAGATGATAAGCATGTAAAAGACCTTGTTCTTGAAGACATCTGAAAAATTAAAGCCGTTTGCGTCGTTAACGTCAGCTATGATAGCCTTGACAGCGATGAAAATAGCAGCAAACAATAGATAGCTGGTCGGCTGTTAGTGTCAGGCAGTAAAAGCATTTCAGTGAACTTACATCATGATTATAGCCCAGAACCAACACATGGCGGTATAGAGCCTACCAGAACCTGCTGGTCGATTGCCCAGAGATAAGACGAAACAAGTAATTAGGAATACACCGTAGAGCCAGGTGAAAACGACACCCAGAATTTCTCCTGTTCGTCCAAGTAACGTATCATCTCCCAAACTTGTTGTGAGAATCTTGAAAACGAGGAAGAAGTTACCGATAGCAAACCAAGCGAAGATCATGTTGATAGTGTTGAAGATGAATTCGATGAAGAAGGCAAACTTTCGCAAGAAAGTGTGATCAGATCGGAGGAAGTCGAGGAAGTGAACAATAGCGTAGATAGCAGCGAAGAAAGAACCGTTGAGCCAACGGCGACGTTGGAGAACAAGCTCAGTAACTGTATCGGGAACATCGGTCTCACCAGTAGCTGACTTGACGTACTGCAGGATCCAATGACAGTTGCGCTTAGTGACCAACTCGAAGCAAAGAATACGATCTTCGGCGAGATACATGTTGGACTCGAAAAGACCAGCATCGCTTCCACCGTGGAGCGTCTCACCCAAGAAGTACTTCTCCAGAGGTCCCTTTCCGTTCTTGTCGTTTTGAAGGGCAACATAGCGGTAGGCTGAGAAGGCACCAGGCAACACAGAGATGAAGCCGAAAGCGGACTCCAATGGCTTATCGAGAATATTGCTCATCTTGTACTCGAAGTTCTGAGCAGCGACGAGCGGGTTCAGAAGGTATTTTCCACCAGTACCCAACATAGCCTTGATCTCACCACAAGCACCACCGCACATGGGCTCGAGATCAAAGGCCTTCCAGAGATGGTAAATTGAGCTTCCACCGGGTCGAGTACCCGCATCGAGAAGTACACAAATGTTAGGGTCCAGGACTCTACCAAAGGCCGTAAAAAACCATCTGTGTGAATTAATCTTCTTGGCGTTCTTCTCCTTCAAACAGAACAGCATTTGAACTGGCTGGCGTCGGTGGACGAGCTGAACAACGTCGTTCTTGATCTGAAGGTGAGTTTGCGTGGTGTATTCGTAAATATGGGCCGTGACATCCTTTCCGTTGACCTGCTGCTTGGCGATACCCTCTTGGTACACACCCATACCGGCCAAGAGAGCCTTGGTTCTGGGGTTGATCTTGGAGCGACCATCACTGACGACACAGACGACGATCTTCTTCCACGCGTCTTTACCCCATGTCTTACTGTTGGGACGGTTACACATGTACTCGATGTTCTTGAAAACACCGGTCATGGTTCGGGCAAACAAAATATCGTCCTCGTTATACATAGTCACAACGATGAACAGCTCGGTATGGCGGGGCTTTGTGAAGAGCCTCTGTCGCAGTGTGAAGTCGTGGTCGTAGAAGTCATTGGGATCGCAAGTCGCTGCGGAATATCGCATGTGTGTGAACTCATCACGCTCTCCGTGGGGGTTCTGTTGCAGCAGAACTGGAGGAACAGGACAATCCAGAACCAGGTTACCGCGGTACAAGAGGACTTGCTTGACGGTTTTCCAGCGCTTAATTCCACCACCTTGTTGCGGTTGATCTTGGTATGGTTCGCTTGGCGCATCTGATGGTTGGTGCTGCAGCATAGGCCTGTGGTCGTCGTAGGGTTGCTCGTACTCTTGGTCGTAGCCCTGATCGTAGGGTTGCTGCTGGGGACGAGGCTCGTAAGGTTGGTTGTAGTAGGCATCGTGATGCGCTTCAGGGTTTACGGCGTAATCACCAGGAGGCCCGTAGCCAGACAAGTTGTCGACGGATTGCTGCGACAAAGTCAGTTCGATTCTTGCTACCACATGCGCAACGTTCAATGTGGCGAGGAAGACTTACAGCTGCATTGAGGTTTAGATGATCGCTTGGAGTAGGTAACCGGTGCTGGTCGGGGCCCGAGGGCATATGAAGGTGCTGCTGAGAAGGGCCATACTGTCCATATCGGCCATCGTCGAAGGGATTGTCGTCAAGCTGGTAGCCCTGCTGAAGCGGCTGACCTGGCGAAGGTGTCCGGTGAGGGTGTGGATGTTGCTGAGGCTGTGCCCCATAGCGAGGATCCATTTCGTTGTTATAGTAATCGTCGTCTGAAGGCAATTGGGGTTAGACTTATATGTTTAGGAGTATGCTTGTTGATTGAGTTGGCAACTGGAGTGAAAGGGATTGTGAGTGGGCGCAGGTAAATAGACTTGCGAATGGGGCCTCGGTGATGCGCAAAGGGACGCAACAGCAATAAAGCTTATCACCACAACGAAAGTTTGTAGCAGGTGATGATGATGAGATTATAGCCACTTTTGCAGGTTTGAACCTTGCCGAGTATCAAGAGCAAAGACGCGAACAGATGCCGAGTCGCAATGTAATGCAATGCAATTCTAAGGTAGCCAGGGGTGTTTAAGAGGGAGGGGTATGTCTCGACTGTCTCATATTGAGGGAGAGAAAGGGGCAGATGACGATGATCAAAGAAAGCTAATGGGGAGGGATAAGGTGGTTGTACTTGCCTAGGCGATTATACGACATGATTGCGGTTGTTTATGCGCACAAGAGGCGCTATACACACAAAGATCTGAAGTATGTATGTATTTGGTTGGGTCTTATTTTGAGCGTGGTTACAGTTGCGCAAAAGATGGTTTATGGTTGATGCTGTTGCGCTGGTGGTTGCCCCGGGTTTCGGTTCCCACTCTCTGAGAGTCTAGGTAGAGACCAAGGAACCGCGGGCGGCGGGCGAGAAGTCCAGTGTTTGTGAGGCCTGAGTGACGTTATGCGACGATGCACAGACGCAGGAGAAGCGGTTATAAATGCGCCAACGAATGATACTGTGAAACGAATGCACAGTAGGTGGACAAAGAGGAGAGGACAAGAAAAAAGAGATGGCTGCACAAGATAAAAACAGATTTTGGTCGGTTTCAAAGCTGACGAAAACCAATGTCAGTCCAGTGTCAATGTCTGACTGCAGCCGCAGAAGCAGATGACAGGGATCGATCAGGCGCTAGCTAAACCTCCAACTCAAGATGCGAGGGGAGCGAGAGAGAGCGAGAGTTTGCAGGTGGCTAACAGTTGCGTCTGGTCTGTGGCTCGGCTGCTCGATATGCGCGTCCCCTTCTGCGAATGAATGGCAAAAACCCTTGTCCTTGTCTTGGCAGATCCGTTTACTCCGTTTAAATCCAAGGACCGAGGAGTTGGAGGGTCCAACTTGGCGTGCTCGAGAGCAACGGTCTCTGTGTTTCACACTCTGCCCGAGTGGGATAGTAAAGGATGATCCTCCACTGACCCAGTGACGGATAAGGGTATGAATGAGCGAGTGACGTTGGTTTGGGGGGGCTCGGCTTGAACCGCCAGCGGGGATAGGACGTTGCAGGTGGCAGGGGGTCTTGTCTGTCCAGTCCTGGAGGAAATGATGAAGTGCAAGAGAGAAATGAGAATTAAGTATCGACGAGAGGCAGGTCAAGTGGTTATACAAACAGGCTGACCTAACTTTGAGTCCTGTCCTGCAGCTGAAGCTTAGAAGCTAGCAAGCTACTGCACAATAGCTTGTCTGTCTGTCTCATCACACCTCAGCCCGATTACTTTCTGTCAGCCCAGCCGCAGCTTAGATCAATCCTCCAATTCCTCTCGCAGCCTAGTCCCAAGCCGCGCCTCCGCCAAATATCCAGCCCAGAAAGATCCAGCCAGGCCTAACCTCGCGCCTTTCAAGCCTTCAGAGAAAATGTGCCTTTCAGCTGCACCCACAAGGCTCTCTCGTGCGACACAATCATCGCATCTTTGCCGTTGAGTTCTAGGAGACTAGGAGACTAAACCAATCGCCAACGCTGACTAGCCCAAGCCTCCATCATCCTCTCTCTCTCTCGCCCGAGCAGCGTTAACCTGCTTACACACAGTCGCATGCAGCCCTAGATGGAAGTAATCACATCTGGGTCCCGTCCCTCCACTGTTCTGTTCTGTGCTGTGCTGTGCTGTCGCTGTTGCTGATGCAGCCAGTACCTGATCAGCAGAAATCCAAAAATATCTCCAACGGTACATGAATCGCCACAGTTTGGATGCTCCTTGGCTCTTGGCTGGTTCATCAGTCAGGTTTAGAAATGCCGCAGTCTCACAATAATTGACTGCGCCACGACCTGTCAATTCAATGAGAACCCCCGTTCCTATTTGCCAAGACCTCGGATTCAGATCGTTACGAATTCATACATATTTTCGGATTTGCCATCATCTCCTCATATTCCCATTTGGCTTTCTCTCCGAACTGTTGGACTGTGTGCTCCATTCCGTTCGATCTTGGCAAATGCAGCACACGACCGCTTCTTACAATACCTACTTGCAGTGTAGCTGAAAAGTTACCCGCTGGAGGTGGAGATGACCTACCTAACTCAAAAGAGCTTAATTCAACGGGACAAACCTTTTGTCTTCTCCCAAGACCGCTTTGATAGCCCGTCAATATAAGGAAACGGGAGAAAGTTAAACAATAATTAAAGAGCGTAAGGACCCAATCACGACAAACAAGATTGCCATTTCCAACAAGCTCGGCACTTTCGTCGGCCATCAGCCCTAAAATTGGCTGCCCTAGGTACCGCTTCTGTTTGATGCACAAGAAGCGGAATACATACGAATATACCATTAAATTGTGTCCTGTCCTTTTGGGTCTCCTCAGTACATATGGACTTCGGTGCAACTCTGAGAACTTGTCGAAAGGTCAAGCTCTCCTCCTCCGTATACACAACAGAGTGAGCCAGCACTCTCCTGGCTACGCCTGTCTTAGAGCATGAACCTGGTGATAGATAACCCAGGTATGCTTGGGCACCTCGTTGCAGCCATCAACTTCATACCAGAGAATCATGTAACCAGGTTTTAACAGTCCTTGGAGACTGGCTTTATTTACCGGCATTATACTTAAACTCCGCCTTATGTATCGATCAGAGCTGTCCTTAGAGCTTCCACCACCTCTTATACAGAACTATTCTCAAAATGCCATACCTTCTAAATAACATACCTGACAGGATTACTATCATCAACGTAAGGATACTCTCTATCCATAAATTTCTGCTGGAGTTTGTCTATCTCTATTGACCCGTAAGAGACAGTCCATTCTGTAATCTCGTAAATTGCAGTACCAAGCGCAAAGAGCTCCTTTTCGAGTACTCTTCGAGTAGTAGAGTCTCCTTCTGGTCCTGGCACCCAACAACGGGGCTCACACGTAAAGGAAACCTCGGGGAACTTGCCCTTCAGAATCGAACCAGCAAAATCGCAGAGCTTGACGTGAAGATCATCGAAGACAAGAACATTTCGACGTGAGACGTCGCCCCAAATGGCCCCTCGATCATGGACATACTTCAAAGCCTCCAAGAAGTCAACGGCTATCTGCAAGCGACGAGCCGGTCTTGGAGGCTCGTTCTTCCCAATGTATTCCCTTGAGTTACCATGCGGCGCCGTCTCAAGACACAACGCTCAAGCTTCTTCTCCATTAGGCATCAATTCGACACCAATACACTTGAAGATGCATGGATGTGAGCCGAGAGCTTCCTATATGGTAGCTTCGCGCTTCAATAAGTTGCTCGTATCTTCAGCAAATGCGGCGCGGTCGTACACTTAGCCGTCTGACCAAAAACCAGCTGCCTTCGAAGCAGACTTGGAGTTGCCCTTCGCTGCGTATACGATGCTGAGGCTTGTTCGGCCCAGGGGCTCGAGTATGGCCCAGATAGCATGGGCAGCTTCCCGATCCGAGAGATGCGTTTTAAATTACGCAGACTGATTCAAAGAGATTCGAGTGAGGCTAGAAAAGGCAATGTCGAGAAGAAACGTATCACGGTGAGTATTTATACAGACAGGAAACGTTCTAACGGTAGAAGGTGCGGGGAAGTTTAAGCTTAATTCTTAATCCATTGTCGTGTATCCAGCGAACAAGACCTAGGCACGAGTATAACAACTCAGATATGAAGAATGACTACTTAAAAGTGAAACTTGTTACGTATTACTATAATAGAGTACATCGCAATTGTATGAGTTTTCCAAAATATTGCAATATTTATATCTTCGCCAGGCGGCCTAGCCAACTACTAGCAACAGCGTGTTATTGAATGCCGAAGCGCCCTCGTCTCAACGTTAAGGCGAGTAATACCCTTTCCATATACGAATATCCCATAACGAATAACTGGTCAGCGAGGCAATAAATTAATGCAAGCCGTGGAAAACGCTTAAACTAGCCAGGGTGCCTTGGTCACGAGAGGTCTCAGAAACCCGATCGTCAGCCAATACAATGCGGTTTCGGTCCGTCCCTTGTTGACTGCGGCTGAACTTCCAGCATACCTGATCCTTGTGCCAAGATAACCTCTTCCGCACTAGATATGGACGTTCTCACCGTGTTAGCCAATTGCTCTTCAGCAGTCATGCAAGGTGTTTGTCCAATTCCGCTCTCTTCAGTCTTCTCTTCGACAGTCGACATCTTCAACACTAGCATTTCAACGATCATTGACAGAAAGTTCTTCAACAGAAGGCCTACTTACTATGCATTTTCACATGTACCCCTTGCATCCTGTCTGAGTTCCACTGCCGGTTCTAAATGCCACTCAAGTATCCTTCCACTCACCGACGCACCTTGCAGACATGGCGGTTTCATCTTCCATCGTGACTTCACATATACCCGCCAACCCTACTCAGCTCGTGCAGTCTCTGGCCCTATCAGAGCTTTATCTTTTCAGAAGAACCAATAGAAACATTTCGCCCCTGGCATAAACATAAACGGGCATGCATTGGCGTGTATGGCTTCGATGCAGATCTCCTGAAATTAGCTAGGCCAGTTCCCGAGGGCAAGCAGGGACGAGAATAGATGAGATACGGTCCAAAGATATGCCGCTATATGGGGGTTCTAGTCATGGCTGTGGTGGCCTCTTATAGAGTTGATGTCCTGCTGTCAGTTGTGTGAGCAGTTTCGTTCTGTTAGCCAATTCGGGTCCCATTATTTCCACTTACATGTTCTCCCACCATCTCCTGTTGGAGCATCACCAGCAATTATGTCTCGACTTCTCTCAGTCCTTCTCCTTTCTCTCCCCCTCGTCTTCTCAGCAGACTTTGAAAGTGTGACCATCAGTGCCAATCTCGACAATGTTGGCCACACATGCATCAGCAAGTGTCTCTACTACACCGTTCTGTCCGATATGGGCAGGGCGATGGGGTGTGATGACCCCTATGACAACAACTGCTACTGCGCTACCGCCGCTGCATCTGCTAACAAGGCTGATGGCTTCATGTCCAAGTGTGCCACATCCCTGTGCTCAGCTGGTGATCACTCTCGAGACTTGACTTCCATGCAATCCTACTACGCTTCGTACTGTATGGGTGCAGGCTTCACACAGCCTGGTGCTACTGAGTGGTACAACCCTGCTGAAGCTACAGAGGAACCGACGAATGAGCCTACTGCAGAGAGCAGTGGTGATAGTGATGCGAAGCCCAGTCGAACCGCCAACTCAGGTGGTGACGCGACTTCAACGCACATGACCATTGTCACACAAACGGCAGAGGATGGTGCTTCCAGGACGCAGGGTAAGTTCCTGCTGCTCATGGTGATGGTGCCTTTGCTGTTGCTTCAGGTACTGTTCCTGTGCATCCCCTATCTAGAGCTTCTGCTAACATTCTGGCCACTAGTAATCGTCGAAGCAACATCCACTTACTGGGTCAACTCGGATGGCTCCCCGGCATCATCCAAGAACGAGGATGATGGCACCTCTATTGTCAAGATTGGTGTTGGCGTCGCTGTACCAGTGGTAATTATCGCCGCTGGTTTGTTTGCTTGGTGGTTCATCAGACGAAGAAGACAACAAAAGACACAATGCCCCCATAATACTCAACCTCTCAGCGAAGTTACAACTGGCGGCGGTCCTGCTGTCGTGGCCTCTGTCTCCCCTTCAACGCCTGAGAGGAGGGACACTCTACCAAGAAAGCCCATCGGAGCTTCAACAATCTCTTCTGTTTCTTCTCTATCCAAGACCAACGAGTTGTCTGGTATTGGCGTTCAACGTGAACTTTCTGGGCGTGAAGTTCATCCCTTTCCCAACATGACACCCAGTCCGCCGATCCAAGTCGCAGGACAATATGAGATGTCGGGCGAAGGATGGAGGCCAGACTTGGAGATGGATGGTCGTGATGCGCGTGTAGAAATGTCTGGTGAAGCAAGGCCTCCTGAGCTCCCAGGCTACACCAACTCAGCGAATGCGTACACACCTCATGAGAGTGTTCAGCGATGGGAACTGCCTGATAACTCACGTCAGAGATAGGCTGTACGCTTTGACGGCCTTTATCTGTTGTTCTGTAGTCTCTTCTTAGTAGTTGTCATTTCATTAGGCTCGGTGTTCTTTTTCCGCCCTGGAGTTGGGAAATGGAAGGTTGTATCTAGGGCCTCGTCAATTACGCTAGATGTTATTAATAAGTATTATATTCCTATTACATTGCCGCGTGTCTCATCAAGAGCTAGTATTTGTCAGGGTAGTAGACGTTGTATTCATTCTCTTGCTCGTTACTTTGTGGTAGGCCGTCCGGTATACTGATTGAACACTCGAGCATCTATTGACTTTTCACGAGGGGAGCTGCTCACACCGAGTGCATAATTCGTATCCAAGTTCGTTTGTCACTTAGAATAAAGGTCCCAAGTTTACTTACCTTCCTCCCCTGGCCTCTGCAATTCGGAATATCAACACAATCAACACCGTTACCGAAGATGAATTGACACTGTCATATTGACATTCTCAGTTGGGCAACAGCCATCAACAAGAAGATCCCTGATGCAAAAAGAGATATTGACATGTCATTTACTGACAAATGTGCAAAAGAAAGGGTCTGGCCGGGGATTGAACCCGGGACCTCTCGCAAGCTATGCTGTAGGGTTTTCCCTAAGCGAGAATCATACCACTAGACCACCAGACCAGTGTTGGAGCAGAACATTTGACGCTGCTGTTGATGGACGGCAGACTCAGTAATGTGGTCTAAGACCTGATGCTATTCAGAAATGAGTTTCCCCAGTAGAATATTCATATCTGAGCTGTGACAGAGGGTGGTCAGCAATTGAGAACAGCAGAAGTTATTCAGACGTTACCATGGGATGCTCAGCCGTCAGCATCTCACTCAGTTCATTTGATAATAAAAATCAGGTCATTCTTCAGTCCATCTGTGCAAGTCCGCTCCTCCGCAAGGATCTCTTGTGGAAGTGTTAAGTGCGGAATTAATAATCACATCCACTTCATACCACCAGTACAAAGTGGGTGTCTTGCAAGCCACAGCCGCAAAGTAGTGCCAAGACAAATGATGAGAAACTCCAATTCCAACCTGCTGTCCTCTGGTTGGTCAATTTGCTGTCCCAGCTGCTGAAAATGGACAATCGGCGTAATCAATAACTTCAACCCCCGACTCTTACGGTGGCCGCGTACCCCGAGATCACTTATTCCCAAAATTGTGACGACAATGCATCGTGGTCTGCGGAGTTGGGTTGTAATGTTGAGGGCATCGTTCAGATATATAAGACGTGGTCGTATCTGTGAAAACGAAAAAGGTCTCATCATCAGCATCCAAATCATTAACGCTCAATTACAAGAAGCAATATCTTGAACATACCCTTCTTCCTGCTATTAAATCAAAATAATGTCTTCTCCCAAGCTCATTACTGTTTTTGGTGCCACTGGCTCTCAGGGCGGTAGTGTGGTGCAGTCCTTGCTTCAGAACAAGTCTCAATCCTTCAGGATCCGAGGAATCACTCGCAATCCTGAGTCCGAAAAGGCCAAGGCTCTCGCTGAGCATGGCGTAGAGGTCGTCAAGGCTGATGGTCTGGTCAGGGGAGAGGTGATTGAAGCTTTCAGGGGCAGTTGGGGAGTCTTTGCCAACACAAACTCGGATGATCCTGTAAGTTAGCAAAGTAAGTATTTTGATTCTCCTCTGATACAGTTGCAGTCAATGAACCAAGAAGATGGACCAACCGAACTTGATATCGGTAAGAGTCTCGTGGATGCGGCCGCTGAGGTAGGGGTCCGTCATTTTGTGTACAGCGGTATGGCCTCTGCCTCTGAAACCACTGGAGGGGCGGTTCCCAACAAGGCTTTCGACAGTATGTTTTCTTCTCTTCCACTTCAATTCTCTATACTGATTCGATGCAGTGAAGCATGCTGTTGGGGAATATGCAAAGAGTCAGGGGTTTGAGACTGTCAACGTTGTCAGCCCAGGCTGGTACTTGGAGAATCATCTCGTGGAAGAATTTGCCCCAGCTCTGGGCGGTTTCCCTTTCACCACTGATGATGAGAGTTACCTCACCTTACGTGTTCCACGTTGGGGTGGCAATGAAGAGATTCCCTTCATTTCGATCGGAGATGATTATGGTGATCTTGTTCATGGCATCTTTCTCGACCCCAAGAAGCACAACGGGCGTCTTGTCCAAGGTATCAGCGCCAGCGAGACAACAGAGAAGCTTGTTTCCGAGTTCGAAAAGGGTGAGCGCCATTTGGTTCTAGTTACTGAGTTCTCTCAGCTAATGGTTTGTCAGTGACAGGAAAGAAGGCTCGGTTCGTGCCCATCGAGGACTGGAAGACCATGGAAACTTATGGCGATCAATCCTTTGAGACTGTCAAGTACATGTTCGGTTTCTGTCAGTACTCTGGCGGCTTGTACTATGGTGTACCTAACGACATGATCCATGCTACTGAGCTGAAGGCGAAAGCGGCGGAGGCTAAGGGACAGTCGGGCGATGCTAAGTTGATGACTCTCGAGGGATTCTGGAAGAAGTATTTCGCTTCTTGACCGTCGGCAACGATGCTTTTGGATGCCATGAAATGTGGTTTGATTCGGGAGAGCTCCATCCTTGATCTGTAATAGTCCGTCATCAGTGTTTGACCATATATAGTTTGTGCTGTTGCTTAAAGTTAATGCTCAACATTTGTCGATATCTTATTTCTAGTTGACATATCACACCGTGCAGCTATAACGCATTCTTTGATGCATCCCTGCTTGGTAGATAAAATTAAGGAAGCGAGCTGCAGCTTCCCGTCAGGACGATCTGTAACGGTCGGTGCATCCGATGGGATGTTATCATTGGACGAGTGAGAGGAGAACAAAGATGGATCATGCATATACGGGCCAGAAATTTGGGAGGCAGATGCGGGAATGGATAGGAGAAGCAGCTTGGCCAAGCCACATCACTTGAGCATCACCTGGGCACATATGATAGCCAGTGGGCAAGCACCTGCTCCTCAGGCATACGTAGTAGATGGCCTCCCCTGAAACGAAGACTCACTCCCCTCTATTCAGTATTAACGACCCCTTAGCTTCTAAAAGCTTAGGCCATTTCACTCTGTGGCTTCTCTGGGCTCCTCAGTATTTTCTGCTGCCGCAGAGACTCATGGCCTAGCCACGCTTCCGTACCTACCTTAGGTATAAATTACATCCACACCCACTTCTCGACTTCTTCCTTCCTTCCTCCAACAATTTTCTACAGACCAAGCAACAAAGCTCTTTGCCTGCCAAAAAGTTGTTTAATATTGGTCTTCTTTCCCTTCTGTTACACCTTCCTTGCATCTTGCCCGTTAAACGAAAAGTTCTTCGGGTATTTGCATCTTGCCTCTCCCTCTTCGTGGTTGCCCCGGCATCACACCACAGCGGAGGGGAGGAGCGAGACTGCATCTTTCATTCTCTCACCTTCCCTTCTCTTCCCTTTGAGCTTCACAGTAAATCATCCCTCCTCTCTTGACTCGAATAGAGTCTTTGCCCTTCACCTTTTCCACCACAACAGTATCCCTCAACACCTCTTACTTCTTTCGCGCGCCCATCACAGTCTATCGTTGCATCAAGCGCTACGGAGAAATAAATATACGCTCTTCGTCACCCTTCTATCATATATTCCAACTCGTTCCGCTCGTGTTCATCAGAATGGGCAACGATATTGACCTAGAAGCCGTCAAGAGGGCCACAATGGTAAGACTTCCTTATTTCTTTCCTCGTTGCCTTCACATCAATGCGTTCGCTTTGCTTTCTCTGCTGGTGCACGGTGTTATCATCTTCTCAATACCATACGGCATCGTTATAACTGACGAACTCTGGTAGGCCGATCTCTCTCGCCTTCGTCAGGAAGAACTTCCACTGGGCCATCAAGTGAGACCAGATCGCCCAAGTTACTCCCCGGGCCTAAAGAATGGAACCAGCCACTTTTCGGTTTCTACAAAGGTTGATCTCAAGAAAAAATGGGGTGCCAAGATCAACGATGCAGAGTCCCAAAGTATGGAAGGCCTTGAGCTCGAAGATTCACGACCTTGGGCAAAAGGTCAGAAAAGAGAGAGACTTCCCGATATCATAGTCCACGAGTAAGTCTTTCTGCCTACACCACTGAGATCTTCTAACTCCTTCGATAGAGATGTTCCAGCTGTCCCTGCTTCCAGCGGAGCGCCCTCCTCATATCAGTCTCGGGGAACTCGTGTTCGGTTCAAACCCACGACACTCGGTTAGAAGTCCTGTGTCTCCAAGATTATTGAACAGCATGATATTAATATGGCCACAGCGAAATGGGGCCCGGGACCTACAGAGACAGCTTCTCGACCAAATCGTCAAGAGACTCCCCCTACTTCTGTCAATGGTGGCAAGTCTACCGCTGCTGCTGATGCTGCTTCTGTAAACGGCACTGCTGTCCATGATGGCAACTCTACCACTGCAGATGCTGCTTCTGTAAACGGCACCTCTTGTACGCCTTTAGTCACGGAAAAGCAGGATGAGGACGACCAGGATCTTATTGCGTCGGAGCACATATTGTACAAAAACCAGTGCCACCTTGTTCCAGGGAAGGCCGAGGCACTTAGTATCGTCACACATGTCGCCGTCAAAATCCTTGCCGAGAATGACGGCATTCTGGAGATTCGAAACGACTCTAAGGGCCTTCGAATCCACAATGCTCTTGAAATCGAGCAACCCATCCTTGACGGCGTCTTTTGTACTATCAAAGTGAAAACCAGGCCCTTCTCTGAGAGGCTTCGGTTTGCTACAGTTAGCGACGCGCAAGGTTTTAAGATCCAGTTAGTCAGGCTTCAGAAAGCTCTGCTGGATCAGCAAAAGCAACAAGAGATGGACAAGTCTCAGGTCGAGGAAAGCAAGGAGGAGGAGGACGGCGACCTCTTGATGGCTGCCAGCCCCATTGCGAGCACGGCGTCCGACACCTTGATCCCCGTCTTCAACGGTGCATCTCAACAGGTGCCCACCACGGATAAAGAGCCCCTTATCATGGTGAACGACGATTGGGGAACACCAGCTAATAACAACATTCCCAGCCTGGACGATGAAACCTTACAGCTGAGTCAGTTGTTAAACCAGGCTCTGGAGCAGGCCACTGCCCTGGGGAACCACTCCGGTGAGAGTATGAATAGGATCGAATATGAAATCCTTGAACAGGCTCTCAGCCACGGTTCCCTGCATGAGCGTAGCGAGCAAGTGCGAGAGGGTCTCCTGAGCATCATTCGTTCCTTGCTCAACATAGTTTGCAAGCCGGTCACCCATGAGTTTGCTTCGGGCCTTGCGGATACCAATGCAATCGAAACCCCTATCAAAGGCAATGCTAAGGGCCTTGGTAGCGCAACCATCAAACAGGACGAGAATTCGAAGCAGGTGGAGGATTCAACCAACCGCCCTGTGCTCGGTATGCCGAAGGGCTTGGGAGCTTCACGTTTCGCCAAGAAACCGGCGGCATACCAAGGCAACTTCACTGGCCCGATCAAGTACTGAGACTGATGCCGCCATGTACGAGAACAGAAAGCTTGGGGAAGGCTGGTGACTTAATTTGGTGTAGAGGATCTCTCTTTTGGGCCTGGTAGTTTGGGTTTGGCTGCAATGAAGATTCTTCAACAAAGATTCTTCAACAAAGATTCTTCAACAANAAGATTCTTCAACAAAGATTCTTCAACAAAGATTCTTCAACAAGTGCTTTCAAGGGTAATTTTGGAGATCGGCCTATCAACAGGCAATGGCAGCGACTAAGGCATGTTTGTAGAAATTGAGATAGTCCCAGCGTATCCAGCATAATGAAGCAAACTGTCTGGATCCTTTCGGTTGCTGGTTGTGTGAATATGTTTAGAATTGTTCGTGTTTCTCATGGCATCTGTCTCTATATGCTTCCAGCAACTGTCTGGAGTCACGGTCGAGTCCTTGACCATCCTTCAAGGCCTCACCAGCTAGTTGCTCAGCTTGTTTATAACGGTGAAAGAAGTAGTGTTCTTCGACGGCATGGATAACCTCTTGAATGTCCATCTTGGTGGCGCCAGGGCCAAGTGGGAGCTTGACTTTCTGATAAATCTTGTGCAAGTCAGTGCTGGATATCCCTATTAACGCCAAGGTTCACTTACATCGCCGTTCTCAACCTTTGCCTTGTACTGCTTCTGGACTACTTGCCAAGCTTCTTCTGACTGTCCTGTGCGGCGGGACTTTGTCGCCTCTGCTTCATCGGCTTCGTCTGAAGATACATCTGCGAAGGCGAAGTTGGCGAGGGGATCTTCTTCATCCATTTTGTGGTTTAGTTTTGGCTGTGAATGAGGATGAAGGGAGGAGAGTAAAGACTGAGTTTTTGGGTCGACAATAGACAGGACCCACTTGGATATGATGGGTAATGGTTGGATGGAAAGGACATTGATTACTTGACTGTTGTCGATTGGATCTCTGTATAGGTAGTTTCAAATTTAGGTTCCTGGCTGATACGGAGGTCAACATGGAGTATTAGGCTTCATACTGTGCATCTGGTATGATTCTCATCTTGTAAAGAAGATGAATATAGACCTGGTCCCCGATGAGCAAGGAAAGCTCAGTGTTAAGCTCAAACTATTGAAGGGGCCTCTAAATCTAGGCCAACTTGCCTAAATCCTTTTATCATTTATAATTCAATGCATTAAGTTTTATTGCCTCTCCTGAGTTCACAGACATGGCGCCAGTTTGGTCCGAGTAATGATGAATAAATATGAGATCAGTTACACTTGATTGTGAAGTTAAGGTACTTCAGTTATCAATCCTTAGACTTACAGGGGTGGGTAGCTGTGATGTAACGACGTGGGGCAACGTCTCGACGCGGGGCATATTCCAACGGCATTCAAGCTCTTGATCACTTCTTCAACCCATTTCATTCTCATTTTACAACATAGTTCGTAAATATGGAGACCCAGGTTGGAAGGCTTGTCGAGAAGGCGTGGAAGAAGTATGAGGAAACGCCAAAGGACAAGAGATTATGTGAGTACCCGTCAGCACTCATCTTCTCAATAGAGCTCTCATGAGCAGAGACGTCACGCTTCTCTATATCGACATACTTCTCACCGGAACAATTGGATCATCTAGCTAACATTCTCAGTGATCGGCGTTGCTGGTATCCCCGGCTCAGGTCAGTAAAACCAGTCAACCTCAAGCCTCGACACTCACAACTATTCAGGCAAAACAACCTTCTCACAAATCATCACCAATCGAATCAATGCTCGCGCCTCCTCTTCAGATCCCTCCTCTCCTCCTCCAGCAACATTCGTTCCCATGGACGGCTTCCATCTCACCCGCGCCGCCCTCTCGGCCATGCCAGACCCTGATACAGCCCACTTCCGCCGCGGCGCAGCCTTTACCTTCGATGCGCCCAAGTTCCTCACCCTTGTCCAAGCACTCTCCAAGAGACCAATTCCATCAGACCCAATTCCTGCACCATCCTTTGATCATGCGCTGAAGGATCCCCGAGACGACGATATCGTCGTCAAGCCGGAGCATCGTGTGGTTGTACTTGAGGGAAACTACCTTGCGCTAGATCAAGATATCTGGCGAGATGCGGCGAAGCTTCTGGATGAGGTGTGGTTCGTTGAAGTGGACTTTGAGGTTGCGCGGAGGCGGCTTAGGGAGAGGCATGTAAGAGCAGGGATTGTGAAGGATATTGAAGAGGGGGATAGAAGGGCCATGGAGAATGATCTAGTTAATGGTAAAGAGATCATTGACTTCAGGCTCAAAGTAGACGAGGTGATCCAAAGTCGAGAAGATGGAAGTTGGGTCCATGAATAGAAGACCTGAAAAGAGAAATGATAAATACTTTGTGCATTCCATTCTATCGACCAATGTCAAAGGATATCTCTTCTAAATCTCTCTAGCCATATCATCGTAGTCTTTCCAAACGCAAGTTATGCCAATGTAACCAAAACCTACTCCAACGCTGTAATAAGAACCAACAATGCTCAAATTCGCTCAAATCCAATAGCCCACTCAGTTGGCAGACGCATCATGTTTCGTTCGATGTCCTAGATCGTTCCGCGCTCAACTTGCGAATCTCTTGCGCCATGCTATGCCCCTTGCCCTTGCGTGCTGAAGTGATCGAACCACGACTCACATCCCGTCCAGCGGTAGCGGTCTGGTCCAGACCCAGCACTTCAATGAGCTCAGGAATCTCAGCGTGATCGCGCGTCGTCTTCATTCGATGACACCAGGTGACTCTCTTCTCCTCGTTTCCATCGTGGTCTGGGCCTCGCTCTTCTGCTTCTTCGAATGCGCTAATAGGCTTTGCCTTTTCGTCTCGTGGTGTTGAGACGGGTGTGAGGATGTCTCGCGGTTCGAACAGGAACTCGCCGCCGACTTGACGCTGGTCGCCCATCTTGAGAACGTTTCCGGTTGGAATTTGCTTCACGCCTTGAACTATGCTGCCTACAATGCTGTGCATCATGCTTCGGCGCATGTAGGCTGGCTTGGTGCCTAGTTGCAGCGTCTTTGACATGCCAAGAGCGTCGAAAAGGGATCTCGTCGGGTCGGTATACACGGGAAAGCGACATCCTGTCTCATTGACATACATATCAATGAGCGCAGGATCACCACACCCAATAACCGCAATGAATGTGCTCACTGGTAGACGCAAGAGAGCTTCGGGAGTAATAGCATCGGACAAAGAGCGCAGAAACTCTTGGCAGTTCTGGAAGGACAATATCAGTAACTTGAAACGACCACGAGACGAAGGGGTTACGACATACGCCACAGAAGAAATGTCTGACAAAGATGATGAGCACGCGTCGTGCAACGTTGCTACCAGTGTAGAGAGTCTTAAAAGGGTGTGATTTTCCATGTCTGTCGAGAACGATGTAGTTTTCGATCTTCTTGAGGGTTTCGGCGGAGGGTAGGTCGTTGTTGGTCGCAAGTTCGCCTTCAAAGTCTTCGGGTTGCGTTTGGTCGACCTTGATCGGCGTCGGAGGAGATTTGCTTCTTGTAGAACCAGCCTTTTTAGGTACAGAGCAAGTATCGCATTTTGGAGCTTCAGAGGTCTTCTCGTCAGAGTCTTGCGCTGGTCGTGGAGGAAGAGTCGGGGCTCGTTCGATGGAAGGACTCTCAGGAGGGATGCCTCCCACGGGCTTGCGCTCAATGGGAGATTTCGTGGTGGTTGAGGCGTTAGCCTCTGTATGATTGTCTGTCATGTTGGTCCAGGCGATCTTCAGAAACTAAAAGATATCGCGAGTCGTGAAAGACCAAAGTTGCAGTAGAAGTTGAGCTTAATTAAATGAGAACCAAATCGCAGAGGGGCATACAAACGGCCCGTAAGTGGCGCCGCTAACAGAACAGTCTCCAGCTTATAAGGGACCGGCCGCAGTGGAGAAGGAGTTTCGTTGCGTCGTAAGCGTAAACGGAATGGCAGTGGCTTAGATTCGTGAAGAGGGAGGTTTCGTGAAGTTATCACGAGATTCTTGGTTCTGGGAAAAGGGGGGAGACGTGGCGTTTTAGGTCGGGTCAGGTTTCCTGTCCATGAAGCGGCAAACTGACTTATGACCTGGTGGCTACCCTTGTTTGGCTGACGATGCCCTGAATTTCAGCGGCAGGGTAAGTTTTAGCTTGATTTTTTTTGGCTGCTTGTGAGGTCGTACGTCGGACTGCCAGGGGATTGGATACCCTAGAGATGTCGTGAAACCGCCATTTTGTGATGGCTGAAGGGATGAAAAATACGTCCATTCTGAGTAATTCTTGTGAAAAATAACTTGTTAGTGGTCCTAAAGGTCACTTAGTATAAACTGGGTACTGCAGGGTCGCGGCGTGAGAGCATCTTGTCACAGGAACAGAAGTGCATTTGAATTCACCACAACACACTTGACAGCCGGGCATGGCAATGGCAAACGTCACAGCATAGGGCAGGGCAGTAGTGCTGTGAAACCAAGCCATGGAGTGACATAGATCATCCATCAAACATCATTTATATCCAATAGTTTGTCACAAGATTTACTAAGTGTTTGATGTTTGGTGAAGGCATGGGCTTAAGTAATTGCCGATTACGACAGCTCGAGCTCTATTTATAAACATCAACAGCAGCAATTGTGATCCTATCCATAGTCAAGGCCTCAGTCGTTCTCTGACAATTAACCGCCTCGCGTATCATTGGTATGGTTGTCCAATCCACTTTCGTCATGTCAAAAATCTGTCAGCGGGGACTAGACCAGACAGAAATGCTTGTCCCTGTCGAGACCGAAGGCTGTCCAAGCATTTCTGTCGATAGAAGTCAAATCCTTGGTGGGGTGTGACATCTTCCACCCATCCAACCCTCCCACCAAATTCTCTCTTTTTTTTTGCAGCTCTCACTCATGCGCAGTTAGCCAAGATGGCAGCTCAAGTCCCCACTGAAGCTCTCAAGGAGCTCAACGGTAAGTTCATACGTATACGGTCTACTCGGCGGTGAACTCTCATGTGAAAACGTCTGGACCAAAGAAGACTGACACTGCTGCCCCGCAGTGGCCGATGGCTCCCAGAAGCCCGGCGCAAACACACAATCAAAGACCGACGCTGCCGGAGACGACCACGGCGAAGATGATTCCGAAGACGAAGCCAACGGCACTGCTCCCGCCGAGGGAGCCGCCAAAAAGAAGAAGAAGAGAAAGCCCAAGAAGAAGAAGAAGAGCCCCACCAGCCAGAGCGACCCTCCTCGAGTCCAGGTCAGCCAGTTGTTCCCTAACAAGTCCTACCCTCATGGAGAGGAGGTTGAATACAAGGACGAGAACAACTACCGAACTACCGATGAGGAGAAGCGCCATCTCGATAACTTGAACAGCGACTTCTTAGCCGACTATCGCGAGGCCGCTGAGATCCATCGCCAGGTTCGACAGTGGACTCAGAAGAATGTCAAGCCCGGACAGACCTTGACTCAGATCGCTGAGGGAATTGAGGATGGTGTTCGTGCTCTTACTGGACACGCTGGACTAGAGGAGGGTGACAGCATCAAGGCTGGTATGGGTTTCCCTTGCGGTCTGAGTCTCAACCATTGCGCTGCGCATTACACTCCCAATGCCGGTAACAAGATGGTCCTCCAGCAAGAGGATGTCATGAAGGTCGATTTCGGTGTCCACGTCAACGGCCGTATTGTCGACTCTGCCTTTACTATGTCTTTCGACAACAAGTACGACAACCTTCTCAAGGCCGTCCAGGAGGCCACTAACGCCGGTATCCGCGAGGCCGGTATTGATGCCCGCGTCGGTGAAATTGGTGGTGTCATCCAGGAGACCATGGAGAGCTTCGAGGTTGAGATCGACGGAACCACCTACCCCGTCAAGAGTATCCGCAACCTCACAGGCCACAACATTCTGCCCTACAGCATCCACGGAACCAAGGCCGTGCCCATCGTCAAGAGCAACGATCAGACCAAGATGGAGGAAGGTGATGTCTTTGCCATTGAGACCTTTGGAAGCACTGGTAACGGATACGTCCGCGACGATATGGAGACGTCGCACTATGCTAAGCGAGGAGACTCGCAGCACGTTGATCTCCGCTTGAGCTCTGCCAAGTCGCTGCTCAATGTGATCAACAAGAACTTTGGCACTCTGCCGTTCTGCCGTCGATATCTGGACCGTCTTGGCCAGGACAAGTATCTACTTGGAGTATGTATTGATGTCAACAAGAACAAGAAATATTTCTAACAATTTACAGCTCAACAATCTGGTCAACGCTGGTATCGTCGAAGCGTACCCGCCCTTGTGTGACAAGAAGGGCTCGTACACTGCTCAGTTTGAGCATGTAAGTGATTCATTGATGTGTAGCTGGTGATAGTGACTAACAGATCCTAGACCATCCTGATTCGACCCACCGTGAAGGAGGTCATCAGCCGTGGAGATGACTACTAGACGGATCTTCTACTATGTCATGGAGCGAATTGTGAGATGGACTCTGAAATATGACTCTCCTCTTCCGACGCGAACAAGTTTGACTATGTAAATAAACACAAAATATGATTTACGTTAGGAATATATGGCATAGCCAACTCTGTATGAAGACTTGTAGATTGGTTCATGGCATGAATGATGAAGCATCACAGCGGCCAATGGCCCGAATATCTAGTAGCATCATTGTGTATGCAAGAACCTGGCAGGTTATGCATTGCTACGTTGGTATAAATTGTGGTAGCTATGACCCCCCAATGCAATCAACTGCCCACTCTGACGGCTGCAAGATGATCGATCGATCTATGTATCTAATCTTGGAACACGCAGATACAAATACCACAGAAAATGACCGATGCTATCTTGAGTTTCTGTATCGATTCTTGTACATTCCACGGACCAAGACCCTTGAAATTTGATCTTCTCACCCGCGTTAATCCCTTCCCCATATCGAGCCTCACAGCGACAAGTTGACCAATGCTTGACGTTTGATCACCAACGCTTAGCTTCATCGTTCTCCGGTTTTTCCCCATCATTGACGCACTCGCCACTCTGTGGCACAGTCGCTCGCCCTGCAATGCACGAGACCAGAAATCGAGCTCCGACCTCCTCCTGCAGACCGAGCCAATCACAGCCTCTCAATATCCCGAGGCTTTATCGCGATCGAGAGGCTTTGCCCTGTAGAGTTAGTTCTGTGTCATATCGGGTTTAGTCGCTGAACGCGGATGTGCTCGGGCCAAGAGCCGATGGCCGGCGATAGCGAGTACCCTCCTTCACATGGAATAATTTTTTCTTAGAGGCCTGTGGGAGGAGGAGTCAGGGCGGTGTCCCCAATTAAAAAGGCCGCATCGCCATCCATTGCCATCCGTCTCCGTCCAGCGCTCATCTTTACCCTCACTTCCGTTACTCTCCATCGCCACTGGAGCATCTTGTATATCTTCGTTTTCTGCGACTGATATAATAAGAAAGGCGTATACTTTCTTTTGCATCTTTGATTTTATGACTCCTCACACGAACGAGTCTCCTCTTTCTTTGATAAGCTTTTAGCTTCTACACCTGAAGGAAAAAAAAAGTTTCTGACTCCCACGCGAGCAACTTCTCTCTTCCACAACAACCTACGACAAACATCAACGAGCCTTCATCCATTAAAATGAAGGTCTTCAGCAACAAGGTCACATACAACTACTCCTGGGACGAGGTGTCCACAGCAAACTGGACAAAGTACGGCCCCTGGAACAACAAGTCTGAGCATGTAATTGCCGTCGACACCCTCTCCCGCGAAGTCGACCCCGCGACCGGTATCCTTCGCACCGAGCGGCTGATCACCTGCAAGCAAACGGTGCCCGATTGGATCAAAACCATCATTGGTGGTACTGGCGACGAGAGCTTCATGTATGAGGCTAGCTACGTCGACCCCATCAACAAGACCGTCACAATGGTTAGCCAGAACTTGACATGGAGTAACCTCGTCAATGTTCAGGAGGAGGTAGTCTACAAGCCTCTCGGCGACCACCAAACACAGTTCATCCAGAACGCCAACATCACTGCTCTCTGCGGTGGCTGGCAGCGAATCAAGAACAGCATCGAGGACACCATGGTGTCCCGCTTCCGCGAGAACGCTGTCAAGGGCCGTGAGGGCTTCGAGCGCGTTCTGATGATGAGCCGCAAGGCTTTCGCTGAGGAGAAGGCGCGCCAGATTCTATGAGATGACCATCACGTATGAATCACGCCTTATCTCCGACCCGCAACACCTTATCTCCAAGGGTCGCACACGACACCAATCTCCACTACTCACCGCTACACTATTTAACGACGACACGGCATAAAAGACGGGCGCGCGATATTTAAAAAAGAGGAGTAGATGACACCTGCAGCATTTTACTGGCGTTTAGAAGGTTGTTCAAAAGTTATACACAAAAAGAGGATTTTGCTTATTCCGGCATGATGCATTTCATTACACTACATCAATGCCTTGCGTTTTGGAGTTGTTCGGACTATACCCCCGGTCTATTAGACAGTCGAGAGCACATGGACCCCGAGGAATTGCCTCGGGTTCATCGCCTAGAACGGGCTTCTTGATAGAGTCACTGATTAGAATACTTAATCATGAAACCTATTACTACATACAACTGCTTTTCCAACCAAGGTGACGAGAATCCAGTAATTGATTGATTGATGATGCCCTCAACTTCTGCCACTCGGTCAGATAGATCTTGGCGTCTCGGTAAAAAAGACAACCCAGTAATGTTTCTCAATCTTGGTACTAACAGAGCAGCTTCGGCTGAGCATTTGCACTCACCCACACTTGATCGCTTCTCAACGGTCTTTGCCCGGCATTCGCTGTTTCTAGTGCCGAATGGCTCACACCCTTTGTCTATCCGTTCCCATCCGGCCGAGCATCGGTGGTTCGTGACCCTTCTTTCCCCGCAGCAGCCCGGTGGAAGACTTTGAGGGGGTGGGTGACTAGGGAAGTTTAAAGATGGGATTGTCGAAAGTCGATGCTTTGTTCTATGATTAGAATGGGCTTGGATAAAACTCTATAGTCTTCTGAATTGGCTGTGGCTTACAGAGTAAAGACGGAAATCGGTGTTAGTCCGAGAACTGAGAAAGAAAATGATGAGAAGTTCCTGAGTGTCATGAAGTTCAGGTCATACAAATCCTGAGGCTTGGGACTTTTTGGTAGAGGCCAAGGGGATATCACGATATTCATGTTCAAAGGTTCCTTAGTTCTCGGATCTCAACAATACATGGTGGCAGCATGTGTGCTTCACATACCAATAGCACTCCCTTGTTACCATTAAAGAACTCTGAGTTGTGTCAATTTCTTACGATTTAAAAATATTCCTTGAAAGACAATGTCCCGCTCCATTAGCCGTCTTTGTCATGATATCAGAGCGCTAAAGGACCACATCTAGTGAGGATGATGAACTTTACACAAAGTAGGCCCCCAGCCCACGGGGAGGAGTAAGATTTCGGACCAAGTCAGTGTCAATAAAATCACCTAGGATCATGCTAAACATGCCCAAGTCTCTGTATCTTAAACACAGCATGTTTCGTCAATCACACCTTGCCGAGAGAAGACTATTTTTGATCACACAATACTATTTGTTGGTCCTGACACATATACCGAAGCCTTTTTTGGGAATATACCGCGAAACCCAAGAGAGATTCGCTAGCCAGTGTTGCCATCTACATGATATAGCAACTGTACAATTTGCACTGACCTGCCCCAATCCCAGACCTATACTCTGTTCTTTGCCATCTGCTATCAAATCCTCGCGGAAGTACCTTGTTGAACTTCAATATTAATCCCTTGTCAAGAAACGGGTCACTCTTCGGTGATGTGTAATGCAAACGAGACACCAATTGTAAGGAATCATGAAAGAGTGATCCTTAGTTGTAGTGGCCAAACATAGGAAGATCAGAATCTTCAGAATCCTCAGACTCATCGTCACTGTCATATTCGCTCTCACCATCGCTACCCATTCCGACTTGCCCTCCACGAGTATCTCCGAGAATGGCCTCAAGCTGCTGTCGCAGTTCTGCGTTCTGCTTGCGGATCTCGTTCCTACGGCGTCGGAGCATGTCTTCACAGTACACAACAAGAATATTGTCAGAAGATCCAGGCTGTCGAGGTTCCCAGTTGGCAGCAGCTCGGGCTGCAATATGCAACAGCTGGCGGGCCTGATGGTGATGAACATCTTCTGTATCCCCGTTATAAATCTCATACTCCTTGTCATCTGAGACCCTGTCAAGAGTCTCGTGGAAGGTTTCGACAGTCTCGAGGCAGAGCTCTAGTGCAGACTCCTTTGCCATGCCTAGGCATGTAGAGCTAGAGAATTTGAGCTTAGAGCTCTCAGTCACTTCCTGCCACACGGCGGACAGGACCTCGCGTTCTTTGGCGGCGCGCTCAACTTGGTCGCGGTGATCCTGAGTAAGGACGTTGGTGACGTAAGCGCCGTTCTTGAACTGGTTGTGGTTTGCAATCTTAAAGTCCTCGGCATACTAAGCGGCGAGAGCATTGCTGAGCTGATTGCGAAGAAGACGGACGTGCATACGGTACAGAACCGTGTCGCGGAGAGTACCAGACCAAGTGCCCTGAGCGAAGACAAGAGGAATGTCGCCCGGGATCTCAGGGCGAGAGTTATAGACCAGGTTGAGGTCCCACATACGACGGATGACGCGGAGAGAAGTCTCGCCATACTTGATGACGATGGTCTTGGAGAGGCCGTACATCTCATTGTTGTCTTGCTTCTGATAGCGCGCGATCTCTTCACAGAGAGGACTGATGACGTCCCTGAGGGATCGGTTGTCGAGCTCTTCAGCATATAGGAGCTGGTTGTAGAGATGGGTGTTTCGGATGATAGCGTGAGGGACGGTTAGAGAGAATGGGCCTGGAGATGAGTCGCATCTGCGTGGGTTGGCCTCGACATTGAGAGCCTCGGACCAGGGGACGGTGACAAGCTTGGAGGGGAGCTCTGGGGGATACATGGCTAATCCGTTATTGACTGTTGATCTCGTGGATCTGAGTGAAAATTTGTTGTTAGCGAGGGATAGGATCTGGCTGAGATATGTGTCTGGATGGAATTGATGATGGGAGGTGGAGGGAGAACGGCGCGAGTATATGTGCGAGAGGATAAGAAAACAGGCCAGAAGAGTGAAGGCCAGGCACTGCAGATGGACGATAGGGGTATTGCCAACTTGAGACTGTATCGTAGTGGTTACGGTATATGGCTTTCTATTGTTGATTGTTGGTCAGATGACGTTTGACGAGTGAAGCCCGGGCGTGGAAACAATAGGAGATGAGAAATGCCAACAATGGAAGAAACACGCATAAAAGGGTATCATTGACATTTATATGAATAACTAACTTGATCCTCCCGTGAATATCGCTCTGTTTGTTTATATACTCTTGAGGTCCAGGCAGATACTTGGAGCCTGGTTTTGGCCAGAATGGACAGGTTCCTTTGTTCCAACTGAACCTCACAAATGAATCCTGCCTGGATCCATAGGTTCCCGTTGACTCATCGAGTATGTAGAGTCGCAGGTGCAAGCTGTAGATTAGCTCGCCTTGAGAGTTGACCCTTTCTTCAGGTCCTGGTTTGTATCAACCTCCTTGCCTCCTCTCCTCTCTGCTCATTTGCACACCGACCTGATCCCATGACCTGTCGCGATACTCTCATGACGCTGGAGGATGGGGATTATTTCCCACCGTCTTGTACATATCCCTCAATTCAAACTCATCATAACCTCCCTCCGGGATCTCCCCAATAACCTTGGCCGGCTGTCCTGCAACGATGGAAAAGCTCGGAATGACCATACTCGGCGGCACAACCGTCCCATCCAATACCTTGACGTAGTCCTTTAAAATAGCAAACTCTCCAATCGTACACCCCTTTCCGATCTGTACGTGGTTTCCCACAGCTGCAGCTTGGACTACTGTCCCTTGGCCAACAAAGACGTGGTCTCCTATGCGTAGGGGCATGTATGTAAAAGCGCCCTTGTATATGCGGCCCGGTGGACGCAGCAGGACACCTCGAGCTAGGAAGCAGTATCGGCCGATGGCGACGGCTGTGTTGTTCGCTGGCGAGGTGCCAGAGGATGACGATGTGGCTGTTCGAGCGAGATCACCGCGGATCATGACTTCGGGTTGGATGACGGTCTTGCCGCCGAGCATGATGTTTTGAGTACCGACGAGGACAGCTTTGCGAGCGACCTTGTTACCTGTGTCCTATAACGATGTTAGCATCGAATGATCCAGAGAGCTTAGGGAGCTTACGGTCTCGATGTACTCGCCCTTGGGGGCTCGGCGAGACATGATGGGCGGTGCTTGAAGCCGGTGGAGGGCCGGAGTGGAGGCGCAGGCGCAGGCGGAGACGGAGACGGAGATGGAGGAGAGATCGGGCGGTGTTTGGAGTTGTTTTGGCGACCGGTTGCTCGCTAGGCCGATGCCATGGACAAGTGGGGCCGTATTTACAGCACGGGGGCCTCAATTAGATGCAGTAGAGCCAAGGCACGACAACGCACGCAAGGCAACGCGTAACAGGTACACAGAATCATATGATATGCTGTGTAACGGAATGTAATTTTGCTGTTGAAAGGAGGAGTAAAGAGACAACCAAACGAGTAAACTAGCCCAGTAACTACCTAACTATGGTTGGTAATGAGCTGGCAACAATCTTACCAACATGATGCTATTTCAGAACAAAGAAAGCCTTGCTGAGCCTTGAGAGACGTTAGAGCCAACATTGAATATCTTGGGGTCTTTCAAGCGCCGTCATGACCAACAGCTGGTAGACCCAACAAGCGAAGCATTTGCCAACCGCAATCAGTAGATTACCAACCAACACCTACTAAGTCAAGCATCATCTCCATATTCTACTACCTGCATACAACAAACATCCAGAGTGTGTCACAAGATTGCTCTAGGTAATTCCCACACTTGGTCCGATTTAGTCTTGTCCTACACCAACCTCTCAGCTGAACCCAACTCCTCGAATTGGATAGCCAATGATACTCTGACCATAAGCTAACCGCAAGCTAAGGAATTGAAGAATCCTTTAAGCTAAGCGCAAACGGTTTAGTTTCTAGACAATAAAAGAAAAACGGACTCCAACCTCCCGCTAAAAAAAAAGTGCAGTTCTTCCCGTGCCGCAAGCCAAGAGAAGGATGCGGCCGAATGAACCACTTATAGCACTCGGAGCGGTTGTGAGCGGTTAATTTCCCCAATTGCTTCTCTATTCTCGTCTCTGCTTTCTGTATCCGTATTCTTGATTAATTATTGCATTTTCGAAATATTGGGTTTTAATGCCAATTATTTAATAACGCATGCAGTGGAAATGAGATATAAAGTGACTCGGTCGTTTCGTGCAGTAGCGTACACTAGAACATAGCTGAAACTGCCAGGGCCCGATGTTTGAGATAAATGAGATGGCTTTTTACTCTCTCTCTCTCTCATTTTTTTTTACTTTTTGTCTACGTTTCTCATCTTCAGGTGAGACTCTTGGAAACTATTAGATTCCTCCGTGCCTCCTACATTACTCGTAGTTGCATGCTCTGATACCACATTCTAGATGCAGGTGGTTGAGCCCCGGGGACCTGAACCCGGACCTTGCTTATAATATTGGATAACTATGTTTGTTTCTCTTACGATTCTTGCATCCCTGGCCTTTCCCGCTTATAACATCGTGTCCTTGTCTTAGTAGTAGCATACACATACAGTATGTACCAAAAGTACATACAGACCACGTAGACGATGGCTTGCCGTCTTGGCCCGCGGGGCGCAGGGCGGAAGATGCTATCTCCGATCTGAGCCAAGGATTACAAGAGTTGATACCTGAGAGGTTACAAGTTCAGACGACGGTGGGCGATTCTGCGTTTCATCGACGGCGACTGGCTGGTCCTCTTGTCGTTGGGGTAGCAATAGAGGATGAAGACAAAACGAACCAGGCCAAACCAGACCAAACCGTAAACATCAAACACTCTGCTAATTAACCACTTTAGCCATTTCCTATTCATTCCTCTTCTGACATCTCTGACTCTCAACTGAGACTCTTGCTGACGGCAACACCAAGCCGAATACAACTATGATCCCTGCTTACACCTCCAGAAAACGACGCTTCCGCCCGCGCTAGGGTCGCCTCTCAACGCGGCCGCCCTTCCATTTAGATTATTTCCCCTCTAGCCCAAGCGAACAGCGTTGCATTGCACTAGACTTGATCCCTACACCCTCCTCCACTTACAAGGATGGCCAGGGTCCTCCTCTCGCTCTCTCTCGCCTCCGCCCGCGTTTCGAGGCCTAGTCCATGGATGTTTGCCTGCATCGTTTTCGTCTGAGTTTTTGGCGAGGCAAAGAAACAGAAACGAAGGGGAAACTATCTCGTTCTGTTCCGTTTGTTGGGTTTCGTGTCTATCTCAAAATCTGCTTAGATAGGGCGCAGTAGAGTTTGACTTGTTTTGTATTGTATATAAAGTCTATCACGACCTCGTCTCTTGAACCACAATCAACAGCTCCAACCACTCTTTTCTATCTAGTCCCCTTCTATTCTTGTTCTCTACTAATAAGTCTTGTCTGGTTCTGGTAACCACTGCATTTCTTATCCCCGCTTCTTTCTTCTGCACTCACCACACCAAATCTCAATATAAGCGCCCAGGTGGAAACGCCCCGTCCACTTAGACCCCTTGCTCGTTGCGTTTATTATTAGCATTGCCGCCCTTGTACTCGTTGTTGCCGCCGATTGTATACAAGACTGCGCTCTGCTCTTCCTCTATCACCCTTTCTGTTCTGCTATCACTGCTTCTTTAGTCGTTGTTGGTGCTTTAATTCCCATTACTCGCTCACGATCGACACCATCTTTTACCTCCTTAAACGCATTGTCATAGTCCGGTGTCTCAGAAAGTTGCTTTCGGTCTCCTACATACAACATCATTAATCATGCTCGCCAACTCCCTTCTCGTCCTTGCCTCTGCCACTTTGGCTCTGGCTTCTCCTCTTGCTACCTTTGGACCTGGTTCTAGCTGCAAGCCTGGAAAGCCTGCTCCTGTCCTCCCAGTCAACGGTGGTGGTAAGTCTTAACTCATCCGACTTATACATCTTCAGCTTCACTAACATCACTTAAAGCTTCTGAACTCCCTGCTCCTCCTCAAGGTGTAGCTCTCAAGCACATTGCTTTTGGCTTCGGTATTCAGAACTATACCTGCGCTGATGCCGCTGCCACTCCCGCTGCCGTCGGTGCCCTGGCTGTTCTCTACGACATCACTCATCTCTACCCAGGCCAAGGCCCTTCATCTCTCACTCCCGACAAATGGGCCTCTTTCACTGGTGACGTTCTCAGCACCGGAAAGGTCCCTCTCAACCTCAACACCAACGGCGTCGGAGCTTCTACCACCAACCCTTTCCCCAAGAAGCAGGATCTCAAGGTCCAAGGCCTCCAGAAGAAGCTCCCCTACCTCGGACATCACTTCTTCAACGCTGCTGGAGTTCCCACCTTTGACCTCGACAAGGGTAACCAGCTTCTCGTCTGCAAGAAGCTCGACGGTATCAAGGCTCCCTCTACTGCCTCCGCTGGCCCTGACGGAACTGGCGCTGTCGACTGGCTCTACCTCGGCGATGCTGGTGGTAGCATTGGCGTCTCCTACGTCTACCGCGTCATGACTGCTGGAGGTGTTTCTCACGGCTGCAAGGCCAAGGGCACCGACAGCACCTCTTACACCACCCTCTACTGGTTCTACGGTTAAACCAAACCGGTCACCACTTTTCATCTTTCACTTCTTAATCACATATTTTCTTAGTCAGATAGAACGGCGGTTCATCGGAGTTTATAAAAGGTCACAATCGCTTTACATAGGATACTCATACGTTTCACGACGATCGTTTACTGGTACAAAATCTCGGGTTTTGGGAACAGATACCATGGTTTATTACGGGTGTGAATGCATCATTGCCCCAGAGGACATTTAGGGAACAACATTCGGCGTTTTGCTTTTGATACGAAGGAATTGGAGGGCGTATTGGATACTCAAGATAGGATGGAACGAAGATAGGTTGGTAGTTAGCCATTGTCAAATGGAAATACATTGCATCAAGTCCTTTAGGCAAATCTTGAACTCTCACATGACCGTGAATGACATGGCAAACCAATGTGAGCAACGGAGATGCACAAAGGCTCTTCAAGTATATCAACCAAATTCCATCGCAAAGAACGCTAGACAATCCATCATCAAGAAGGCAAGATGGTACAAAACACGCCACTCAAGCATCCTCCTTGCCGACAACCTGCTTCTCATGTTCCAGGCTTTCTCTCTCGCAAGCAATAACCACATTGGTCATATACTTGTGACACTTGTAAGTCAAAGCCGTACACCAGATGATCATGGCGATGCTAACAGCAATCATTGCCCACATGCCTCGCTAATGAAATGTCAGTACTCTCTCAAGGTTAGTCAACAGTGAATGATAGAAGCTTACAATGAACCAAGGAGCCATCGAGGCACCATAGAAGACGATGCTCCACCAAGCATTGATGGTATTGCTGCCCGTGTTCATACCAGCCAACACGATACCGCGGAACATGGCTGATTCGTGACGCATGACATCGTTGCACCAAGCGAAGAAGGTAGCCTGGCACGCATAGACAGAACCGGCCCAGTAGTAGGCTGCGAATACAACCGTGGTAGAATGTGGGTTTGTAGGGTCTTTGGAAGCAACCAAGACCATGATAGCTGTAGCGATACCAGTGAGGCCAATGAAGTATCCAACAAGATATCGCTTTCCCGCCAGAAAGTCGGTCAATGTTGCCCAAAACAGCGTGGATACAATACCAACGGCTGGCACACCACTAGGATAGTTGTTCTTCTGGGCGACAGTGTATGTTTCGGTCGGGTGGTTTTGGAGGAAGAGAGCGAAGAGGGCGTTGGTGCTGAAGGACTCGGTCTCGCCGGCGATGATCCAAAGAATAACAAATCCCCACCAAAACCACGATGTAAGGACCATCTTTCCATAGCCGAAGGTGAGTTTAGGTCGTTCTTCAGCGGGAGGAACGCGGGATCTGGCGAGGGCTCGCTCCTCTTCGGAGAGGTAAAAGGCGGTGGTAGTGTGCGGCGTATCGGGGAACAGGAAGAAGCCGTAGAGAGCAACGGGGATGGTAATGAGGCCATCAATAATGAAAAGCCATCGCCAACCGGTCAAGCCATTTCGACCATCCATACTTGAGTGAATACCCGTTTGGATGAAACCTCCAATCATAGTTCCCGCCAGGCCAGAAGCCGTAAAGATACCGCTTCGCTTACCAAGCTCCCTCTCTGTATACCAAGATCCGA